GTAAGCTCATATACTTTATTTTCAAGTAGAACTTCACGGGTGGAAGAAATTTGCAGATCAAAATAAAATGACGAAGCCTCCGCCTCCCACAGTCCAAACTCATTGCATCTCTCCTGCAATTCAGTACTCAAGTACACTTCTCTAATCCTTTGTTCTTCAACCTCCTCATGTAACATACCCACTTCAGACTCCAAACTTCTATTTACTTCAGAAAGGGATTCAATTTCCCTTTTTTGTCTTGTGCAATATTCGGATACTTCAAGAACTCGTTTCTCTATGTTTCCTTTAATAAGTTTTAAGTCTTCACACTCCTCCTTAAGTTCTTCAACAGTTTTGCACAATTCCGCATTCAAGTTATGTGCAGCCTTAAGCTTCTGTTCTGCTTCTAAAAGCTCTGTGGCCTTCTTTCTCAGAGAATCCTGCCCAGCAAAAGTTTGATTCTTCAATTGCTCATTGAGTTCTTTGACTTCATGCAGCTCCTTGTTCAACTTGTCAACCGTTTCATTTAGTTGTAGACCTTCTGCTTCTTTCATTTTCAATTTGTCCCCTAGCAATTCAACCTTCTCCTTGAGGTCACTGTTAATCATACGGAGACAGTTGAGATCTTCAGTAAGAGCTTTAACTTCCTCAGCTTTCTCAATTCCGAAACTCTTGAAAACCAAAGAGAGGTTACTGAGATCCAGTGCTTCCTGTAGTATCACACTATTTTCCTCTTCAAGTACACACATCTCATCTTTTAGGACCAAAAATTTCTCAAGCAAAAGTCGGTTTTCCTCACTCTGCTTGGACTTTTCTTGTTGCAATGCCAGGTAAGCCTCCTGCAAACTCATCAGCTTTATGCCATGATATTCCAATTCGCCTGTTAATGTTTTCTGTCGTTGCTCTCCCTTGCTCACTTCTAACATTAACTGCCTGTTCATCTCGAGGAGCTCATCCTTATCTTTTTGCAGCATAGCACATTGCTCGGTCATGATCATAACCTCCTGCTCAAAGATTGTCTTCTCTGACTCAAGTTCAGCTCCCTCTAACCTCATTCCTCCGAGTAAAGTTAAAAGCACTGAGTTCTCAACTACTAGTTGCTGCTTCACATCCTCACTACTCAGGAGTGAACTTTTCAGGTCCTCTATATTATCCAGAATACGTGGGATTGGGATTTGCCCCTTTTCAATCTTATCTTCATGATAGTTAACAGGATCAAATTGGAGAGCCCTAAACAATTGAAAAATTCCAATCCTCAGATTTTCAATCTCATCCAACAAGAATTCTGTTTCCACCTGCTGCTCAAGATTTTCACACTCCAACTCGGATATCAGTTTATCTGATAATTTGGAGGCCTCAATATGTCTCTGACATTCTATTAACAGAGATAAGTTCTTTTGTTCCAGGTCTTCTATAAACTTCTGCAAAATGAAGATCTCGACCTGAGCATTTACAGCTTTATCCAGTTCTTCTTCAAATTCTTTCTTTGTCATCCTAGTTTCTTCTTGCAGTAGACGCAAATGGTTTTCCAGATCTGCCATTCTGGACTCACTTGTATTTACATAACATTCACGCTCTTGTTGCTCCACACTAAGAGAGTCTCGTAGTTCTTCTACTTGACTAAGTGTGGATTCTTTCTCCTTCTCAAGATCAGTATATTTTTCCTCTAATCTTGTAAACCTGTTTTCCAGGTTACCAAGTCTCTTTTCAACATTTTCAAGCCGAGAGACTAAGGTGCTTCTTTCATTTTGGAGATCTGATTTCTCATTTTTGAGCAACTGGCAGAATTCTTCTAAACTCTTTGACTTTGCCCTCAAACCTTCAAGCTCAACATTTGCACCAGCAAGTGATTTTTCCAGCAATACATTTTTTTCCAAGAGCTTCTGCATATTCTCAGTCATAATTTGTAACTGAGAAAGCAAGGTAGTTTTCTCAGCAACAAGAGAGGATTTATCCTCCCGGAGAAATTGACAGGACTCCTTTAATTCCTTGACCTTCTCTCTTGACCCTTCAAACTTGCCACTTAATTCTGACAATGAACTCTCAAGAGCAGCATTCTTCTCCAAAAGACTATCCATGTTCTTCAACTTCTCATATAGAGCCTCTTTCTCTTCCCTCTGCTGTTGGCAGAATTCTTTCAGCTTTGAGTTCTCACCTTGCAACTCCTTCACCGATGATTCAAGGAATTCAGGATTCAAACCTACTGAGAGGACTTGCTCCACTAAAGCCTGGTATCTCCTATTTAACCCAATGATTTCCTCCTTCAAATAGTGAACCTCCAGCTGAAGGGCATTACTTTTGGCCACTTGGAGTACAATCTCTTCTTCAAGTTTCTTTTTCATCTCCCTCAAGTTGCGAATTTCATTCTGTAGATTGTTTATTGAAGTAGTAGAAGAATCGTTCAATTCAATCAGGTTCTGATTTTCCTTTTTAACCTTCTGGATGTCTTCCTCCAAATCATGATTGCATATCTCCAAGTCCTCAAGTGTTTGAAGCTTATTTTGAAGCTCCAATTTAAGAGCTTTCTGCTCCTCTTGAGATTCACACTGCACCTTCTGTAAAGCCTGAAGAGTGGCTTCAACTTGGACAAAACGTGAGTTTTCATCCTGCATTAAAGCCTGAATTTTCTCCAGCTCTTTTTGCTTCTCAGAAAGTTCTTGATCCTTCACTGCTATCTTCTGGGCCAGACTTTCTGCCTCTACCTGCAGAGACTGATTTGATCTCTCCAACAGATCACACTGTTGTTCCACGGTCTTTAATTTTACAACTCCCATTAGAATTTCATAGTTCAGTCGTTCCGCATCTTCTTGGGCACGAAAAATTTCAGTCTCCATCTTAGCCATTTTCTCCAAACACTGCTCGTACCGGAAAGCTGTGGCTTCTTTTTCTTCATTCAGTCTGGTAAGGGCTTGCTTCAGTGCTTTAATTTCAGCTTCTGATCTTTCAGTTTGTTCGTTAAGCATTCTGGCATTTTCCTCGGCAAGTGAAATCTTTTTCTCCAGTGCATTTATCATCTCAAGACATTGCTTGTACTGAAGAAGACCAGCTTCCTTTTCAGCCTGAAATCTAGAGAGTTCTTGCTTGAGATTTTGAGCTTCTATTTCCGCCTTAGACGCTCGCTCATTAAGTCCTTTCGAATCCTCTTGGGCTTGGGAGATCAGAGTCTCCAGACTAGATATTCTTCCCAAACAATCATTGCACTGAAGAAGCCTGGCATCCCTCTCAGCTTCTAATTTGATAAGCGCTTCCTTCAACACTTTAATTTCAATGTCTGCTTTGCTAGCTCGATCATCAAGCCCTCCAGCATCTTTTTGCGCATGTTTAAGTTCTGTCTCCAGGCTAGAAAACTTCTGCAAACTCTGTTGGTACTGAAGAAGAACGGATTCCTTCTCAGCTTGAATCTCTGCAAGTGTTTTCTTTAAGGCTTCAACTTCACTGTCAGCTTTACCCGCAAGACTCTGGTTCTCACTTGAAAATTGAAATAAACTTTCTTGCAAACTGTGTTTGTTCTCTTCTGCTTCATCAATGTTATGACGATTTTTTATCCTTCCTTCAACGTTTGAACATTCTGGCAGTACTGCTCCTGGCCTAAACATCTCACTGAGCTGCTTTAAACCCCTTTTGCTTATTCCAGAGTTTGATTCTTCTGAGTACCCTCCATTCCTTTTCAAAGCATGAAAGTTGGTTGAAGAGAGTCCCAGGAAATCTTTATGCAGGTCATCAGGTTCAAGCAATGCACGTATGGGATGCGGCATTTCTGGTGTGTGAGGCTCAGCTTCAGGGCCTGATGACCCAGACGGTGAATCATCAGGCAGTGCATAGGATACTTGGTTGGGAAATGCTTCTGCCATGGTTCGATGGGTTGATTCTTCATTGCTCATTGAGTTCTTTGACTTCATGCAGCTCCTTGTTCAACTTGTCAACCGTTTCATTTAGTTGTAGACCTTCTGCTTCTTTATTTTCAATTTGTCCCCTAGCAATTCAACCTTCTCCTTGAGGTCACTGTTATCATACGAGCAAGTTGAGATCTTCAGTAAGAGCTTTAACTTCCTCAGCTTTCTCAATTCCGAAACTCTTGAAAACCAAAGAGAGGTTACTGAGATCCAGTGCTTCCTGTAGTATCACACTATTTTCCTCTTCAAGTACACACATCTCATCTTTTAGGACCAAAAATTTCTCAAGCAAAAGTCGGTTTTCCTCACTCTGCTTGGACTTTTCTCGTTGCAATGCAGGTAAGCCTCCTGCAAACTCATCAGCTTTATGCATGATATTCCAATTCGCCTGTTATGTTTTCTGTCGTTGCTCTCCCTTGCTCACTTCTAACATTAACTGCCTGTTCATCTCGAGGAGCTCATCCTTTCTTTTTGCAGCATAGCACATTGCTCGGTCATGATCAAAACCTCCTGCTCAAAGATTGTCTTCTCTGACTCAATTCAGCTCCCTCTAACCTCATTCCTCCAGTAAAGTTAAAGCACTGAGTTCTCAACTACTAGTTGCTGCTTACACCCTCACTACTCAGGATTGAACTTTTCAGGTCCTCTATATTATCCAGAATACGTGGGATTGGGATTGCCCCTTTTCATCTTATCTTCATGATAGTTAACAGGATCAAATTGGAGAGCCCTAAACAATTGAAAAATTCCGATCCTCAGATTTTCAATCTCCATCAAAGAATTCTGTTTCCACCTGCTGCTCAAGATTTTCACACTCCAACTCGGATATCAGTTTATCTGATAATTTGGAGGCCTCAATATGGCAAGTGTTAAAAGCAGAGTGGAATTATCATGCTTCTTGTCATAACAGTTGGAAAAGACAGACTTTAGTTTCACCATAAGTCCATGATATTGAAACTTAACATCTGAACATATATTAGGAATGTTGTAGTGCATTGATACAAGGTCGTAGGAGACTATAACATAGAGATGCTCAAGCAGCTTATTCTGATTAGATCAGGTCTACTTCTTACATTTCTACTAAGTTAAGATGAACTAGTTTCCTCTAACAGTTCCAAGAAGTATCCCTCACTCTTCATTCATTAGTTGTTGAAGGTTCACACACCCACATAAACAACACCCCTTCTTCCGCCGCCCGCTACTTCTCCCACCATTGTAAATGAAGTCCCTCAAAAGCGCACCTGTTTTACTTTCTGAAAACTTGTATTTTCCTTTTGACTTATTTTCATCCTCCAGTTTCAGCAAAATATATTGGATAGTTTGCACTTCAAGCTGCAATCGTCCAATCTTTTCGGACCCTTTACGTGCCTCTTCTGTCACTTTTTTTCTGCAGATATCTCCTGTTGCTTCAGATTCTGCTGAGGACTTCCCCTCCAAAGATGTGGGGCTCTCTTCAGTATCTTTTGACAACCGATCATTCATCTCCACCAGCTGAAGAATGGCTTCCTCGACTTCTAGTAACTGTTCTTTCACTGTTTCGTACTCAGGATCATTGCCCTTCTTGCTCTTCTTGTCCATCTCCATTTTCTTTTTCAAGTCTTGCAGAGTTGTTTGAAGATTCGTCAATTTCTGAGCATCAGAAGCAAGTCTCTCCAAGATCTTTCTCTGGCCCCCTCCTTTATTTGGCTCTCTGTAGCTTCCGGATAACTCTAGCTTGTCAACACCCAACTCCTTCTCAAATTGCAATTCTGAAGAGGGATTGTCCTGATCCACATTCCTGGAATGATGATGGATGGGGATATTTGCCACTGGTGCAGCTGCTCTTTTTTGTGTGTTATTGACCATTGACTCAAGACCACTATCTTGGTCAGCACATTCCCACAACCCGAGCATCTGATCGTTGGCCCCACTATTCTCTCTCCTGCTTCTTCCATAGAATGAACAGTCCGAGACTTGGTCAAGTGGAATATCTTTCATTGACGTTCTACTCGGAATCTCAGAGGTTTCAAGTTTACTCTTCTGCAACTTTGGATTATCAATGAACTCGTCCTCAATTCCCATCTTTTCCTCCTTAAATTCTTTTTCCTCACATGAGAAGGCGCTTCTTAAAGTCAAATCTTCAGTCTCTGTTATTTCATCTTCCACTTTGATGCCAGGTTTTACATTAACCAGTATTTGGGACCTTTCCATTTCTTCAACTACTGCCTTTTCAACTGCTTTAATTCTAGTCTGCATCTCCTTCAACTCTGAAATTCCATCTGGAACCATAATGCATTGAACATCTTTGGGTTCTTGACAGTTCATTTGATGAAGTTGACCAGCCATTTCTGAACTCTGGTGACAATTAAAAGAATTTCTTATTACGCAGTACAAAATATAGATAGCGGATCTAAATAGTGAAGACATGCAGATCATTTTCACAGATTGGCCCAGCATTCTTTTAAACTAATTTTATCAAGCATCAAAAGCATTTGAAAAAATACTACAATTTTCTGATAGTGGATAATTCCGGAGACTGTCAGTTGATATAAAGTTTCTAAAAGTAGGTGTAATAGCAATTTAGAGACATGTTAAGCCAATAAAAAAATCTGGAAATTTAAAAAAACAAACAAAATCTTCCTACTTGCATTCTAGATGCTGATTTGCTTCAAAAAGTAATGTTTTCTAGAGGAGGAAAAGTACATTACCATTTGCTCTTCATTGCTTGTTGGACAATTCTTTTTCTGACGAAAGACATTGTGCTCCAAAGATGCCACATTATCTCTCAGGGAAGCTATTAGAGGAACATATGAAGACAGTTGGGACTTCAATTCTCCAATTTCACTTTCCAAGAATCCAGCTCTTTCTTTCATCTGTTGCGTCTCCAAACTTTTTGTGGCACTTTCATCTCCAAGACTCTCACAAACTTCAGTAAGCTCATATACTTTATTTTCAAGTAGAACTTCACGGGTGGAAGAAATTTGCAGATCAAAATAAAATGACGAAGCCTCCGCCTCCCACAGTCCAAACTCATTGCATCTCTCCTGCAATTCAGTACTCAAGTACACTTCTCTAATCCTTTGTTCTTCAACCTCCTCATGTAACATACCCACTTCAGACTCCAAACTTCTATTTACTTCAGAAAGGGATTCAATTTCCCTTTTTTGTCTTGTGCAATATTCGGATACTTCAAGAACTCGTTTCTCTATGTTTCCTTTAATAAGTTTTAAGTCTTCACACTCCTCCTTAAGTTCTTCAACAGTTTTGCACAATTCCGCATTCAAGTTATGTGCAGCCTTAAGCTTCTGTTCTGCTTCTAAAAGCTCTGTGGCCTTCTTTCTCAGAGAATCCTGCCCAGCAAAAGTTTGATTCTTCAATTGCTCATTGAGTTCTTTGACTTCATGCAGCTCCTTGTTCAACTTGTCAACCGTTTCATTTAGTTGTAGACCTTCTGCTTCTTTCATTTTCAATTTGTCCCCTAGCAATTCAACCTTCTCCTTGAGGTCACTGTTAATCATACGGAGACAGTTGAGATCTTCAGTAAGAGCTTTAACTTCCTCAGCTTTCTCAATTCCGAAACTCTTGAAAACCAAAGAGAGGTTACTGAGATCCAGTGCTTCCTGTAGTATCACACTATTTTCCTCTTCAAGTACACACATCTCATCTTTTAGGACCAAAAATTTCTCAAGCAAAAGTCGGTTTTCCTCACTCTGCTTGGACTTTTCTTGTTGCAATGCCAGGTAAGCCTCCTGCAAACTCATCAGCTTTATGCCCTGATTTTCCAATTCACCTGTTAATGTGTTCTGTCGTTGCTCTCCCTTGCTCACTTCTAACATTAACTGCCTGTTCATCTCGAGGAGCTCATCCTTATCTTTTTGCAGCATAGCACATTGCTCGGTCATGATCATAACCTCCTGCTCAAAGATTGTCTTCTCTGACTCAAGTTCAGCTCCCTCTAATCTCATTCCTCCGAGTAAAGTTAAAAGCACTGAGTTCTCAACTACTAGTTGCTGCTTCACATCCTCACTACTCAGGAGTGAACTTTTCAGGTCCTCTATATTATCCAGAATACGTGGGATTGGGATTTGCCCCTTTTCAATCTTATCTTCATGATAGTTAACAGGATCAAATTGGAGAGCCCTAAACAATTGAAAAATTCCAATCCTCAGATTTTCAATCTCATCCAACAAGAATTCTGTTTCCACCTGCTGCTCAAGATTTTCACACTCCAACTCGGATATCAGTTTATCTGATAATTTGGAGGCCTCAATATGTCTCTGACATTCTATTAACAGAGATAAGTTCTTTTGTTCCAGGTCTTCTATAAACTTCTGCAAAATGAAGATCTCGACCTGAGCATTTACAGCTTTATCCAGTTCTTCTTCAAATTCTTTCTTTGTCATCCTAGTTTCTTCTTGCAGTAGACGCAAATGGTTTTCCAGATCTGCCATTCTGGACTCACTTGTATTTACATAACATTCACGCTCTTGTTGCTCCACACTAAGAGAGTCTCGTAGTTCTTCTACTTGACTAAGTGTGGATTCTTTCTCCTTCTCAAGATCAGTATATTTTTCCTCTAATCTTGTAAACCTGTTTTCCAGGTTACCAAGTCTCTTTTCAACATTTTCAAGCCGAGAGACTAAGGTGCTTCTTTCATTTTGGAGATCTGATTTCTCATTTTTGAGCAACTGGCAGAATTCTTCTAAACTCTTTGACTTTGCCCTCAAACCTTCAAGCTCAACATTTGCACCAGCAAGTGATTTTTCCAGCAATACATTTTTTTCCAAGAGCTTCTGCATATTCTCAGTCATAATTTGTAACTGAGAAAGCAAGGTAGTTTTCTCAGCAACAAGAGAGGATTTATCCTCCCGGAGAAATTGACAGGACTCCTTTAATTCCTTGACCTTCTCTCTTGACCCTTCAAACTTGCCACTTAATTCTGACAATGAACTCTCAAGAGCAGCATTCTTCTCCAAAAGACTATCCATGTTCTTCAACTTCTCATATAGAGCCTCTTTCTCTTCCCTCTGCTGTTGGCAGAATTCTTTCAGCTTTGAGTTCTCACCTTGCAACTCCTTCACCGATGATTCAAGGAATTCAGGATTCAAACCTACTGAGAGGACTTGCTCCACTAAAGCCTGGTATCTCCTATTTAACCCAATGATTTCCTCCTTCAAATAGTGAACCTCCAGCTGAAGGGCATTACTTTTGGCCACTTGGAGTACAATCTCTTCTTCAAGTTTCTTTTTCATCTCCCTCAAGTTGCGAATTTCATTCTGTAGATTGTTTATTGAAGTAGTAGAAGAATCGTTCAATTCAATCAGGTTCTGATTTTCCTTTTTAACCTTCTGGATGTCTTCCTCCAAATCATGATTGCATATCTCCAAGTCCTCAAGTGTTTGAAGCTTATTTTGAAGCTCCAATTTAAGAGCTTTCTGCTCCTCTTGAGATTCACACTGCACCTTCTGTAAAGCCTGAAGAGTGGCTTCAACTTGGACAAAACGTGAGTTTTCATCCTGCATTAAAGCCTGAATTTTCTCCAGCTCTTTTTGCTTCTCAGAAAGTTCTTGATCCTTCACTGCTATCTTCTGGGCCAGACTTTCTGCCTCTACCTGCAGAGACTGATTTGATCTCTCCAACAGATCACACTGTTGTTCCACGGTCTTTAATTTTACAACTCCCATTAGAATTTCATAGTTCAGTCGTTCCGCATCTTCTTGGGCACGAAAAATTTCAGTCTCCATCTTAGCCATTTTCTCCAAACACTGCTCGTACCGGAAAGCTGTGGCTTCTTTTTCTTCATTCAGTCTGGTAAGGGCTTGCTTCAGTGCTTTAATTTCAGCTTCTGATCTTTCAGTTTGTTCGTTAAGCATTCTGGCATTTTCCTCGGCAAGTGAAATCTTTTTCTCCAGTGCATTTATCATCTCAAGACATTGCTTGTACTGAAGAAGACCAGCTTCCTTTTCAGCCTGAAATCTAGAGAGTTCTTGCTTGAGATTTTGAGCTTCTATTTCCGCCTTAGACGCTCGCTCATTAAGTCCTTTCGAATCCTCTTGGGCTTGGGAGATCAGAGTCTCCAGACTAGATATTCTTCCCAAACAATCATTGCACTGAAGAAGCCTGGCATCCCTCTCAGCTTCTAATTTGATAAGCGCTTCCTTCAACACTTTAATTTCAATGTCTGCTTTGCTAGCTCGATCATCAAGCCCTCCAGCATCTTTTTGCGCATGTTTAAGTTCTGTCTCCAGGCTAGAAAACTTCTGCAAACTCTGTTGGTACTGAAGAAGAACGGATTCCTTCTCAGCTTGAATCTCTGCAAGTGTTTTCTTTAAGGCTTCAACTTCACTGTCAGCTTTACCCGCAAGACTCTGGTTCTCACTTGAAAATTGAAATAAACTTTCTTGCAAACTGTGTTTGTTCTCTTCTGCTTCATCAATGTTATGACGATTTTTTATCCTTCCTTCAACGTTTGAACATTCTGGCAGTACTGCTCCTGGCCTAAACATCTCACTGAGCTGCTTTAAACCCCTTTTGCTTATTCCAGAGTTTGATTCTTCTGAGTACCCTCCATTCCTTTTCAAAGCATGTAAGTTGGTTGAAGAGAGTCCCAGGGAATCTTTATGCAGGTCATCAGGTTCAAGCAATGCACGTATGGGATGCGGCATTTCTGGTGTGTGAGGCTCAGCTTCAGGGCCTGATGACCCAGACGGTGAATCATCAGGCAGTGCATAGGATACTTGGTTGGGAAATGCTTCTGCCATGGTTCGATGGGCCTGACGGAGCTCAACAGTTGCATGATCATATCTCTCAGCCAACGCACGGTAAGCTCGGTAAAATTCCTCAACCAATTTCATGAGCTCCGGACGTTTCTTATAGTACATTTCTGCTCTCCTTGCAAAAGAATCTGCATCTTCTTCAATGAGCTTGATCATTGCTTTGACTTTGGCATCCATATCTGTCACAACATAGTCAAAGTCAGGTGACTCGTGACCCAAAATTTGAGCACTTTTAACTCTCAACAACAATCATTGTAACTCAACTACGACTTAAAAAACCTTGATATTTAAATTAGGAGCTATGAACCTATCATCTATGATATTTATCATGCATAAAACAAGTTTGACATTATTGGATCCTCCATATGTATGTTGATGTTGTAATGTCAGCTAAAGGATAAAGAAAAATGGTTCTTAAAGTACCCACAGATTGAACCTATAATAAAATAAACAAAAGAGGACTTAGATTCAATGTGGTCGTATAAATTGGTTTCAATCTATGATATGGAGATGATAAATCATTTTTGCCCCTTCAAAGAATCTTAATTAAGTGTCGAGGTAAAAACAGACAGTGGAACAAAAAAATATATGAGTCCTGGAAAGTTAAGAGCATTATGAGAATGAAAGCAAATGCAACAATGTACAGAAATAAACTCCTCTATATGAATATCTGTGAATCTATGCACTTGTATGCTACAATGCACGTCCATATGCATTCCCACATTTCAGTGCGAGGCTTTCCATTTTAAACCATTTGTAACTTCTTTTCTATGTTCCTTTATGCATTTACTTCCAATAAAAAACCAAAGTTCTAGACAAATTTGATCTCATCATACCTAGATATTAAGCTTTTTGTTGGGACATAAGCTAAGAAACTAGTTCAAACAGGTAGAAAACGAAAACATTTGTGCTTTAGTTTCTAATTTGAACAGATAGTTTGAAAGCATCAGGCAACTTCTTGTTAATTTATCAACAAAGAATAGCCTGCAAAGTTCATGTGTACGTGATAACATATATTTAATGATTAATAAGCGTTTATTACTCATACACACTTACCCACCAAAATTTAAGTAGAAGTGAATACCTGTAAGATTTTCCTGAAGCCATTTCGAATTCTTTGGGCTAATGTGGCTGTCCCACCACCAAGAATACATGCGCCTGGACTCCTGATGTAGCAGGGTTGCCATGACTCCAGCAAAGAACAACAACACTACTGGTTTGGATGTTGCAAAAGCCTGGTTGTTATACCAGCAATAAAATCTAAGGTAATTTATCCAGGCCAGAATAACAAATTAATGGATTTTCACCACCCAATTATCCTAAAACAGCCTTTGAAGTTCAGCATGCCTCAGTCCTTGAACACTCACCAAGATAATCAAGCCACACTGTAAACATTAAGAGATGTTAAGCAACAGATTTTTCACATGAGCTTCTTTATACTACAGACTGAAAAGATTGCCAGCCCTTCAATCATAAGGGAATTACCTGCTCAATTCAGCACCACTCACACAAATGCAACTCCTTACTTCAGTATGCTTCACAATAGCAAATCAGATGCACACTGATCCAAAAATAAATAAAGAAGTTTAGATCAGATCTTAAATTCCATAGATAAAGAAGACACTAGAAAATTAAGGTAAACGCCATACAAGCATTCTTACTTGAATAAAAAAAAAAAATGTAATTGCTAGAAACGAAACACACTAACATAATACGTGCATTGTATAATTTCTGATATGCAGGATGTAGAAAGCCCGCAATTTGCAGCATTTTAAATACTTGTTCAGTAGAACTAACATAAGGAATCCATTGCAACTGATGCACTCATAGAAGCGCAAAACATTATCTTCATGAAAGATGGACTCAACAAAGAACTGTAAAAATAGTCTCAACAAACAACTGTAAAAATAGTTTCAAATGCATCATAAGATCAAAGAACTTACCAAAAAAATTAAAAAGAATAATGGTGATAACTCCTGATCAGCAACCAAAACTACAATCAAAGAAACACAAAAGAATGAACTTTAAGCAGAAGAGCCTCTACAAAGATATCAACAAAAATCTTTTTTTTTTCTATGGCAAGGGCATAAACTTACCAATTGACAGAAACTTGGAGATCGATTCCGATCGGATAGCAACAACTACGCTTCATAAGAACAGAAAAAACGCGAACTTCGGCCAAAATGGCCTGAAAAAAAACTGCTAAAAAAATGAATGTTGACCAAGCAAGTATCGAGATCAAGTACACACCAAAAGAGTGAAAAATGCTGATGGGATATTCTCAGCAGCTGCGATACTACACCTCCAGCTGCATATCGTCTTAGTCACCCCATTTCCTTCCTCTAACTCACAAACACAAAAACAAACACAGACACACACTCTCTCTCTCTCTCTCTCTCTCTCTCTCTCAAATGAGTACTTCTGGGCAATATATCTCAGACTCTGTTCACTCGACTGTAAAATAAAAAATAAATGGATTATACAAATAGGGTAAGATGCTTGCATTTTCCAAGGGGGACTTTTTTTTTTTTTTTTTTAATGAAATAAGGTAAGATTTTATTTATTAGTATATACATAGTTCAAATTACATACATAAATCCTGCTTGGATGGTTATATAGAGACTTTAAGTATATTGTTAGATCCTGAGTTTGAATCTCTTTTCGATTACTAATAAAAATAGTTAGTTAAATTTTTATTCAATCGATAATTTTAAAGTTTCAAAATATTATTTGAAGTATACGTAAACTAAATTGACGTCTCCTGTTAAAAAAAAAAAAAAAAAAATTGCATACATAAATTTGGTTGAATTTAGTTTGTTGTATAATCGATTTGATTTAATTAATGATAATCTAGGAAACCGTCACTTTTGCTGTCTTTTGTCGTTACTTTCTATGCGGATCGCGGATAGTTACATTACGGGACTTGAATTTGATTGAGATGACTAATATACCCTTGCTTAAGATCTCAAAAATGTTCTTTCTTGGATTCTGAAGCAAAAATACTGACAGTGATGCAAGAACTGTTAAGAAATTGTATATAATATAATATTTGAGTAATTGACTTGACACTTAGCAATTCAAGAAGCCTCCTCTTAATTCTTATACACCATAATGAATTAAGGAATATTTGATTTTATCATATTGTATTAAATTAATAATCATTTTATTTTTGACCCCAAAAACTATATATTATCATGGTTTTTGTTATTTGATTTAAGTACACATGGGCCGTCTTTTGAAGTTTGCATGCGCATTCATGTATGTATTAAAATAATTTAGGATGCACGAAAGCACCAAAAGAAAAAGTCTAAATGGGAACATTATATTAACAATAATAAGAAGTGAGAACGATATTTTCCCACCCAAGGTTTGGCGGAACGACACTTTCTCACTTTTCAAGTTTCAAAATGACACTTCTGACCATTTTTTTGGTTCCGTTATGTTTTCTATTAATATTTGACTGAAAAGATAAAAATACATTCAATATTTGACTTTATAAATTTTTTATTATTTTTTAATTGGCCAAAAGTCAAATATTAAAAATCAAAAAGAAAAAATAGTTAGTCTCAACTAAAAAGTTAGGATTAATGCTATAGAATTATTTAAAGTTAAATGACTTTAATATTTATTTATTTATAATATCATCAATATCTCATTACTATTATTCAATAATCAACTAAATTTATAATGTTTTTCATTTTTACTAATTAACATAGAAAATCAACATTCCTAATTAATTAAATAAACAAAGGAAAAAATATATCTTTATACTTAAACTAATAAATAATCGAGTAAAGACTTTGACTTAAATAAATTATAATTTATAATAAACTATTTAAATGTATTTTCGTCTTTTTAATTAAATATTAATAGAAAATATTAACAAAACTTAACGAAGGGTGGAAAAGTGTCATTTTGAAACTTACCGGATGGGAAAGTGTCATTTATCCAAAACTTGGGTGGGAACATGTCGTCCCCCCTAATAAGAATATTAAACTTTAGGTAATATTGGGATTCAGATTTTGGATTATATTAGTCCATGTCTTAAAGGTGGGGGTGGGTGGTTTTCATTTTCAAAGGTGGGCCTGTTTTTTATGGAAGTAAATTAAAGAGCAAAATACTGTACTTAAAAATGTATTTATTTTTATTTTATAAAGTGTCCCATGGTTTTGGTGTAATGAAATTATCTTGAAATGGAGATGAATTGATTGTACTTTAGACTTCAACTAATTAAATAGTGATGGGACATTAAATCTGATTAATGTAGGTGAATGTAATGTTAGATTTTATTAAAAGAGGGCATTGACATTGAAAAGGTTGTGTAATCATCATATAACTTACCCCAAGAAATANGGGTGGGAACACGCCGTTCTCCCTAATAAGAATATTAAACACTTTGGGTAATATTGGGATTCAGATTTTGGATTATATTAGTCCATGTCTTAAAGGTGGGGGTGGGTGGTTTTCATTTTCAAAGGTGGGCCTTTGTTGATGGAAGTAAATTAAAGAACAAAATACTGTACTTAAAAATGTATTTATTTTTATTTTATAAATGAAATTATCTCGAAATGGAGATGAATTGATTGTACTTTAGACTTCAACTAATTAAATAGTGATGGGACACTAAATATGATTAATGTAGGTGAATGTAATGTTAGATTTTATTAAAAGAGGGCATTGACATTGAAAAGGTTGTATAATCATCATATAACTTACCCCAAGAAATAAAAATCATAATTGCCCAAGATCCAGAATTTAATATTTAAACTATAGTGTATATTCTAATATCATTGCTTGCATCCTTTGGATATAACTATGATAATATGGTCACACAATTCATTTGAAATTCACATTCCCTTATAAAATAGCAGTTAATAGTCAAATTACATAATTATAGGAAAGTAAAGTCAGTTAGAGATGTCAACGATATAATTGGGTTTTGAATTACAAATTCAAATAAAATTGAATTTATCACAATAATTAAAATTGATTAAATCATTAAATAGGTTTACTCAAAATTAAACCGACCAAATTCATAGTTATTCAATACCCTAATTAATAGTTTGGTTATTGGTGACAGATAAATAGTTATCTACGCAACCAATTTGGTCACATTAAATCAAAGAATTCCTCTCAAAACAAAGCCTCTAATCTGAATGGCTGTAGCATAGCGTATCGATCGAAACTGCGTACCAAATCTACCATGCTTTAAACATTATAAATCACCGACAATATGATGTTGAAATCTCTATCTCAATTATTGGTGCCACAAATTCAATATCAACCATATCTCATATGTGAATACATCTTCTTCAAACTCTCAGCCCACCCACGTCTGCCTACCTCCTTTAGCTATCCACGCCCGAATTGGTTTTGGATTTTAACTCTTGTTGGTTAGCAATGTATCATAAAATAAATAGTTTACTTTATATAGAGTGATAAAATGTCGTATCTTGTCACATATTATCAATTTTTTTTCTTTCATTCAATTATCACCATTATCATTCATCGATAACTATTATTATCATTAAAAAGTAGTTTTGAAAATTAGCTATACATATCTTTATTTTATTGAACAGTCTTATCATGTCAGAAAAATGAAATGACGAGAACGAGACTACACCATATAAGTTTTTTCTCCATATAGGTTAAGTTGAGTTGATGGGCACCCTAGGTCTTATAAAACGTTTTAGAATTCATATTGTTGTGAAAAACACTAACAATTAATCCAGCGGAATAACTTCGAGGGGTTGGCCGAACGATCAAAGAGATTTGTTTTCTTCCTTGAGTTTATAGGTTCAAACCTAACCTTGGGGCCACCTAGACACATATCACAATAATATTGTGGTTTATCTGATCTTTTAAGCTTGTAAGATATTTAATAAACCTCAAAAAAGACTTCCTACTAGAATACAACCTTTGTTCATTCTAATCCTATAACAACTATAACTTATGCCTTCTTTCCCATTATATATATATATATATATATGACCTCCTTTAATGGTTGAGCATAAACCTTTGGCCCCCAAATCAATTTCCTGGCTCATCTCATTCTGCTCTAAAGTAGGAGGCTAATGTAAAGGGAACGTGACACTTAACTTTCCTTTGTCTCTCTTAATCACGTAACCATCAGGCTCAAGCTCAACACCCCCACCAACCTGATTGACAACTTTGTCTGCAAAATCAGAAAAAATCGATGTGGGGGAGAGGAAAGTTTAGATATGACAATGGAGATGGACCCCAATGTGAAGAAAAATACATATTTTGTTGGTGTTTTTTAGTGGAGTAGCCAGCTATGCCACCCCGTGTTCCCTTTCAGATACTCTGAGAAGTTCATCAAAAGTCGCATTATTTTCTTTAGGCATGCTTTCAAGTGAAAAAATGAATTCCTTTATATAAAACTATCCACATCTCTTCCATGTGCATCTCTTATTTTCACATTAATGGAGGACTCTGTGTATTGAAAAACTAGTTGTCTTTTTAGGTCTCTGGGGTCCTACTCTCTTAACTTCATCTGCTTTTCCTGGCCGCAAAAGATGGTCCAAATGTCGTTTACAATGAGCAAAACTTGGTTCAATAATTAGCACCAGTCATTTCCCATGAGTGGAAAACCTGCTGGATTATATTTTTGGCCCAATTCAAACCCAGGTTTGGAGAGTTTGATTATTTTGTGTAGCCTAGCCCTATTTGTATTATTCCACGACTTTATCATTAGGTGGTAAGTGAACGATTTATTTCCACCTAAATAATGGCTTAATGATACTTTTCCACTTATAAACTTTTAAAATATCATTGTACCACTCAAATTTAAATTCTGATGGTGAATAGAGAGCAAACTTCATCCAAACTGTTGAAACTTTTGCAAAGGGAAGACCGATGAGTCTTTTAGTGGTGAAAAATTGGATTTTGGTGGTTGAGATTTATCAGAATTTGACTTGAGAGAGGCGATTGTGCAAAACCTAATCACTCGATTACCGGCGATTGGAGGGGCAACGGGAATATGGTTTAAGGGTTTTTGGTGAGTGATAACCAAGGAAGAGAATGATGGTGATGTGGAGTCATAATGAGGTTGGATTCGGAAACGAAATATAAATTCTGTGGGTATGAAAGGTCATTAAGCCATTATTTGGGTAGAAAAAAGTCATTTACTCTTTGGTGATCAGTGATAACCTAATTAAGTCATAAAAGAGACCAGTTGGGCTATTTTCTGAGGCCCATTCGAGTTTCAAGCCTGGAAAGTTCAACTGATTTGTGCGTAGCCCGGCCCAGGGTTAATCGTAGCACTAAATCGTTCTGATTTTCTTTTTCTTATGAAAAATGTTTTATGTATCGATTATTTTTTATTTTTTTATTTTTTTTGTGGTAGATTTGGATCATGTGAACTTTTTTCTTTATATATATATATATATCAATATAAAAAAAATTATTTAATTATATGATTAAATAAACTTTTATAATCCGTCCTTAATTCAATAAATAATCAGAATTTTGATCAAGACTAACTCAAAAAAGTATTTAATAGTAAATGAAACAGACCCTTATAAAATACTCAATACAAAAATTTTCCTTGAGTGAATATTAAATTTATAATAAAGTAAGTATAAAATAAAAAAATCTATAACATTAAAGTAATTTAATATCAGTAATATTTTATTAATTTAAATTAACTTGTTAAATTTTATCTTCTTTTTTAATTTTCTTACCTTCTGGCTTTTTTACCTTCTCAACTATAACAAACAAGGGCCGACCCAATCTAGGCCCATATTAGGCCCTCACCGAAAAAAAAAAAAAAAAAAAACTATATATTTAACATCATATATTTTATTAACTTTGTTTTATTTAAATTGTAAAAACATAATAATTATTTTAAACCCTAAAATTTATGTATTAAAAAAAGAAGTTGGTTAATAAATTCTAGAAAAAAGAGATTTTAGTTGTCTAAAAATGAAACTTAAATATTAAAAATTAAAAATTAAATATAAATATAAAATAAAACATCGTACTTTAAAACCCTCAGTCTTCTTCAGCTGTCACTGCTACAAACCCTAAATTCACCATGGCCGTAGGGTAAACAAACTGAAACTCGCCTCTCTCTCCACTTGAAACAAACAAATTTTATCATTGGCTGATTTGTTTTAGTTGTTTTGGTTTTGTGCAGAAAGAACAAGAGAATATCAAAGGGAAAGAAAGGAGGAAAGAAGAAGGCGTGAGTATCTTTTATTAAATTTAACTCTACCTCCTTTCTGCTCCGTATACATCCGCCCTGGATGATGATAACGTTGTTTTCCAATCCTTTTGTTTTTGTAATAGGTCTGATCCGTTTGCTAAGAAGGACTGGTACGACATCAAGGCTCCTTCTGTTTTCAACAACAGAAATGTTGGCAAGACTCTTGTTACCCGTACTCAGGGTACCAAGGTACCTTTTTCATTTTAATATTAACTTATATCAGTCTTATTTTCATTGTGTTTCGCACTTGAACAATGTGTTTGATGAGATAGGTATTTTTGTTTAGGGTTCAATAGCTGTTGGGTTTAATGGCGATTAGGGTTTTGTGATACTTTTTCCATTTGTTGGAGTTTGTGTATTATTTATCTCTACTTCTCAAGTAAATAAAAATGATGTTTTTCTTTTTTTTTTGGAGTCTAATCATCTAAATATCAACCACGCTGTTATTTAGTTTCTTAATAGGTTGACCTAAGTTTTCTATTAGTCTTAGTATAGGTTGTAGTTTAGGCGTATGGGCTTTTAAGAAGATTTTAGTGATAATGCTGCAACAATGCTACAAACTCTCCTGTGTTTCGTCAGATTTTGGTCTGCATGACTTTAGTTTAGGCATATGGGCATCTGAGTACGTGGTAGAGTTCTTTTAACTTGGCGGGCTCTTTGATGTTTGTATGTGTATTGTTGTAGATTTAATTGCCTAGTTCATGAATATGATGCCCTTAGTCTCTTTAACAGATTGCCTCGGAAGGACTCAAACATAGAGTGTTTGAGATATCACTCGGGGATCTTCAGGGTGAGGAGGAGCATGCTTACAGAAAGATCAGATTGAGAGCTGAAGATGTTCAAGGAAAGAACGTCCTCACCAATTTCTGGGTATGGTTGATTTTAAATGTCAAAAGTTTTTCATACATTTGTTTCTGATGAATTATTTAAATGTTTGCACTTTTGATTTATTCAGGGGATGAGCTTCACTACAGACAAGTTGAGGTCTTTGGTGAGGAAGTGGCAGACTTTGATTGAAGCTTATGTGGATGTCAAAACAACTGACAACTACACTCTGAGGATGTTCTGCATTGGATTCACCAAAAGACGCCAAAACCAGGTCAAAAGGACATGCTATGCTCAATCCAGCCAAGTTAAACAGGTACTCTTCTGAGTTTACTACTCCATGTAAAAGTTTTTCCTGCTTATTGATACCAAGTGTTGCAAGTATGAAGGGACTTAAACGATTTGTTTAAATGCTGATTTTATATAATCATGTAGAATTCATGTGAACAGTTTTGATGGTTCCCATCTTTTGTCCTTTCAGATTCGCCGCAAGATGAGGGAGATCATGATAGCACAGGCAGCATCTTGTGATCTTAAGGATCTTGTCCAAAAGTTCATTCCTGAAATGATTGGGCGAGAGATTGAGAAAGCAACATCAAGCATCTACCCCTTGCAAAATGTGTTCATTCGCAAAGTGAAGATCCTGAAAGCTCCCAAGTTTGATCTTGGAAAATTGATGGAGGTATGACTTTTGCTCTCCCTAGCATGTTATGACTCTTGCTCTCTCTAGCATGTTATAGGCAGACAATCCAAGGATGGTGCTTTTCCAATTTCATATTCAACTTGATTTGGTATTAAAGATGGGTGCTTAGAATTTTTTGGTTCAAAACTGATGCACTTGCATTTACATATTTTAATAAATTATTGAATTGTCTCTTAGTGATTAGCCACAAATGGAGCCCATCCAATCTGTCTCCATAATTATCAGTTTACAAATTTTAGACTAAATGTCCCATAATTTCAGAAACAGTTGGTTGAAGTTTGGTTATGATGTACCTTATGTATTTTCAATTTAGGTTCATGGCGATTATTCAGAGGACGTTGGCGTGAAGATGGAGAGGCCTGCTGATGAGACACCAGTTGAAGGTGTTACTGAAGTAATTGGAGCTTAAAAGATTGCGAGATGTCTTTTAACTGTNGTCCTCACCAATTTCTGGGTATGGTTGATTTTAAATGTCAAAAGTTTTTCATACATTTGTTTCTGATGAATTATTTAAATGTTTGCACTTTTGATTTATTCAGGGGATGAGCTTCACTACAGACAAGTTGAGGTCTTTGGTGAGGAAGTGGCAGACTTTGATTGAAGCTTATGTGGATGTCAAAACAACTGACAACTACACTCTGAGGATGTTCTGCATTGGATTCACCAAAAGACGCCAAAACCAGGTCAAAAGGACATGCTATGCTCAATCCAGCCAAGTTAAACAGGTACTCTTCTGAGTTTACTACTCCATGTAAAAGTTTTTCCTGCTTATTGATACCAAGTGTTGCAAGTATGAAGGGACTTAAAGTATTTGTCTAAATGCTGATTTTATATAATCATGTAGAATTCATGTGAACAATTTTGATGGTTCCCATCTTTTGTCCTTTCAGATTCGCCGCAAGATGAGGGAGATCATGATAGCACAGGCAGCATCTTGTGATCTTAAGGATCTTGTCCAAAAGTTCATTCCTGAAATGATTGGGCGAGAGATTGAGAAAGCAACATCAAGCATCTACCCCTTGCAAAATGTGTTCATTCGCAAAGTGAAGATCCTGAAAGCTCCCAAGTTTGATCTTGGAAAATTGATGGAGGTATGACTTTTGCTCTCGCTAGCATGTTATGACTCTTGCTCTCTCTAGCATGTTATAGGCAGACAATCCAAGGATGGTGCCTTTCCAATTTCATATTCAACTTGATTTGGTATTAAAGATGGGTGCTTAGAATTTTTTGGTTCAAAACTGATGCACTTGCATTTACACATTTTAATAAATTATTGAATTGTCTCTTAGTGATTAGCCACAAATGGAGCCCATCCAATCTGTCTCCATAATTATCAGTTTACAAATTTTATACTAAATGTACCATAACTTCAGAAACACTTGGTTGAAGTTTGGTTGTGATGTACCTTATGTATTTTCAATTTAGGTTCATGGCGATTATTCAGAGGACGTTGGCGTGAAGATGGAGAGGCCTGCTGATGAGACACCAGTTGAAGGTGTTACTGAAGTAATTGGAGCTTAAAAGATTGCGAGATGTCTTTTAACGGTTTTCTAGTTTAAAGAATTTTTAAGCATTTTTGTTTGAAAACTTGAATATGTTTTAACTTTTAAGTTGCTAATTTTGTTATAGCTGAGATGTTTACTATGGTTTTTATGTATGCTTTTGTGCATTTGATCTAGTAAGCAATTTTGGTTCAAATACGTTTCACAGAATAAGAACTTTTAGCTTATAATTGAATCTCAATTGCTGTCTCGAGTTTGGATGTGTCCCAAGATCTTCTTTAGAGCCAAATTTTTCAAGTCAATCAACGAATCTTTGAGTTCTGCGAGCAATCTGTATGGTTAATCTGTATTATAGTCAAAATAGTTATATGCATCTCTTTATCTGCAAATAGTTCATGAGTAATTAATTTAATTTAAATCTATGTATATTTTATATACTTAAATTAAAAGTTATAATAATGTCCTGTTATTGCCTTATTGCATATATTATGTATGTGTTTTCTACCTAGTACCTAATAAGGCAATTTGTGTATGTGTACAAACTCTCCATTATAAAGGTCCACATGTAGTCTTTACTCTTTAGAGTACTGCAATAATAAGAAAACATTAATAACATAAATAAACTAAGAAACGTTTGAATCTAATCTGCTGGATGACGTGAATTTTGATGATAAACTTGGACATAGTTGGTGAAGTCTCAGGGATTGTGGATGGTTCTAACAAAAGTTGGGTTCTTATTCTGAGTCTCTAGATGAGGTGCTGCTGATGCGGAGATGCCATAGGCAAAAAGAGGTTTTTGGTTAGGAATGTTCTTTCTGTGATTGGGTCCGTTGCTGCATATTAAGGCTTGAATTAGCAAGTCACTTATGAAAATTGCTTTTTAGTATCTCATGTTCATCAATATAATTTACACCATATTTCATTTCATGTCATCAATGGTTTACGCAGTTATTCGTCCCTGCCCCCATCACTATTCCCATTTGCTGCTCAGAATTTGAATGGTATTCACCGTTTGCATACAATTTAGGCAAACTACGGCTCTATTCACATCAATAAGAATATATAATTTTTCTAATACTGCTCCCAGGGAGAGCACATCTTCATTAATAAAATGTATAACATTTTTGCTTGGAAAGAAACGCCATATTATACAAAGAGTAGCTAAAGATTAGCTAACATTATGAAACCAGGATTGGCAGATACCATATTATTATACAGATACAGAAGCCTGACTGGTGCCGCTTAGAAACATACCTCTCTGAACAACAACAAAGATTTAAAGAATTTCATCCCATCCTGACTTTATTTTAAGTGCTGCGGAGTGAGTGAAGGAAATGAAGGTATTGATTGTAATATCAGCTTCCGTCCGCTTCTCCGACTAGGGGATGATCCAAAGCCAGTGTTTGGTGGGGAGACCCTCTTACTGTTGGGAGAAGCAGTTTTGATACCACTGTTGGGAGAACAATTGCTTCGAAGAATCTCAGGCATTTCGTCTTCTGGAGCAACTTGGAGACTCTTCTCAAACTTGGACTGAGAATGGAGAATATTAGGTTTTCCATACTTGTTGCCAGTATAAAACCCAGAGGAGGATCCAATTGCAAGTAAAGACCTTGGTGGTTTGCACTTGGAAGAAAATGGCAGCTGAACCAATGATCTGGAACACAAATAACATTTAGAAGCTAAAAACAAAAAATGTAACTTTACTCGTAAATAGATGGTTCAGATATCAGACCTGCAAAACTGCAATGGTGTTGTGGGAAGAGCAGAACCTGGATTCTGTTCTTCATTGTTTGGGATTTCAGTTTTCTCCATTTTTTTGTCAACCATGCTCTTTTCACATGTCTCCATTTCATCTTCTTCTTGTTCGCCATCTGTTTCCATCAATACAGAACCTAAATTTCAAGATAACAAACCAAGGGCATAAGAAGCATTGGCTTAAACATAATATCAGCATGCAGATTTATAAGTTTTCGATAGAAAAAACTGATAGGAATAGAAGACTAAAAGAAACTTTATACGAAAAAATAATCCTCAGGCTTCTTAAAAGCAATATCACTAAAAGGGCATGTAAGCATAAGAGCACACTCACCATCCTTTCTACCAAATGCATTCTTGCACCCTTCACATCTGCAGTTAATGGAGCATCCAACACCACCCTATGAAAAAAACCCACTCTTTTTTAACCACTTTATATAAAGCATCAAAACAATACCAAATATACCAAGAAATTAAACCTGATAGCATTCACAGTATTTCTTTAGGCAACTAGATTTCTTGCAGTTGCAGCCTCTTTTATGTCTTGCTGAAGCTGGTGTTTTGCTAGATTCATCCTGCAAGTGCAAAAACAATCAGGAGAAATACCAGCTTGAATTTGTGTTAAGCACAGAGTAAGGCCAGACTTTTAATCTAACCCCGGGTTCAGGTAAAGAATCAGCGCTCCTAATCACTTTAGGAGCAAATGCAAGTGGGTTCCGTGACTCAATCTGTTTGCGAGTTGCGAGAACCGTATCTTCATGGATAGGCTTGTTGAAGCAATCTTGGCATGAGCATGGCTCTATGCAGTAGACACCAGCAGCAAAGCATTCACAGTAACTACGTGGAAAAGAGTGAAAGTAAAAACGATAAGTGCAACACAAGTAAAAATTGAAGACCAATTTATTCAAGAGGGAAAAAGATCTTGAACCATCGAGAAGCAACACACAATCATTTGCAGTTACCAAATTTAGTTTTCATGTTTCATTCACAGCAATGTTACATGGGGTATGAAAAGTTTATGTTAAAGAATATCGTTTTTAGGAGACATTGTTCGCCATTACAGGATCTATGGAAATTCATAAGATGTTAACAGCAATATAATTTGTCCACAAACTGAAAATCTGACCCTATGGCAATTGAAACCTGTCATCAGGAATTAGGACCTAAAACAGTAATTCCTCAATCGAAGGATTAAGAAGTCAGAACTTACAGTTTCAAACACTTTGATTTCTTGCAATTACAACGCTTGCAAGACTCGGTTTCTCCTGCATTTTCCAACCTACGCCTAAAACCAATTCAAAACCTTCATGTAAGAATAAAGATACGAAAAATAGAAGGTAAAAATGAATTATCCAATGCAACAATGTTAATTACTATCATCTTGTCAAGTGCACATGCCTTTTCTTTTTGGGGCTATTCTGATTAAACTCTTCAGATACTAAATATCCACATGTCTGAGAAGCATCTTCTGCTGGTGGAACTCCACTTTCAACAGCAACCATGTCTCTTTCAGTAGAGGCTGAAGTCAAAGATTCATGAAGCGGATCTTGACTACTTTTAGGGGAGTGAAAGGAGGCAGTAGAGCCGGGCAAACTTAACTGTCTTCCAGAAGACAAAGTTTCATGCTTGGTGTTCTTGTTATCCTGTGAAGTTATTGCTAAAGCATTTAAATGCAAACCAATTCCAGGCAAAATGCACCGAGGAGAATCATTGGAAGGCTTAAGAGGCACCAGTTGCATATCTTCAGAAGCAAACCTCTCATCAGATTGCAACATCACAGAAGAACTACAATTAGAACCATCATTTAAGTTCTTCCTGCGAGCAACCAGTTCAAAATCTAGACAGCGCCTTAGCATACCACGGTGAAAATTAGAAATGGGCTGAATACAAAAGAAAAGCTAATTTAAGTGTTTGCAGATCTTCCAATTTGTTCGTAACATATAAACATTAAAGGAACAAATGTTGAGAGAAACCAATATTCAACAAACAACCAGAAGAATTAATATATGCAATGCATTTTATCAGTATTCAGTTTGTGAAGCAGATATTGATAAAACAAAAGAGTTGCAACTTTTACCTTGAAAGCAACTGGAATACTCATCCCCACCGTATCACCTTCTTTCCCACTCGGATCATCAGTTAAGCACCTATCCAGATCATCACTAGCATGGTCACCCTGCATGTGGTTTAATTCTTGCAGCTCATTGTTTTCTCCAGGTTGAGTAGATTGATCTTCCATTTCATATTGTTGACAAGAACCAGCCGGATCAACCATTTGCATATTTGGCTCTCCACTAATGTCATTTTGGGGGAATTGTGACATCGCAGAAGTACCAAATCTTGCTCCATGGTCCATTGATTTATGCATTAGGCCCTTAAAAGCCTCTGACTCGTCAGGGAAATTAAAAATTAATAGGTCCGCAGCATCAGACATCAAACTCTCCCAATCACATCCTGCAGCTTCCTTTTTCTGCTCGATGTGGGATGTCCCACTTAAATGTGCTTCACCTTGAGATGAAACATTTTCAGAGGCCTCTTTAGCAAATGTAACAATAGGCATAGATGCACTGGTCATTTCTGAAACAGAGTTTGCTTCAATATCACAAGGTGGTGGGTCACAACCAGGGCTACCACAATCATATTTTAAGGCCCGTGGCAGTTCAATAGCAAACTTTGAATCACTGGAAGCCTCAACAGAAACCCCAGGATCAAAATTTTCCCCCAGTTGAGCTGAGTTATCATACAGCTGAGATGCATCGGCTGCAACCCCATCATTTGTACACACTTTATTACCATTTTCAGAAGAAAGCCCAGGTTTTGATGGATCCGAACAGTTATTCCTGCAAAGAAAGAACAGAAGACATAAGATGTAAGTGAATAAAGTGTGAAGCTTGACAATAAAACTTTAGAATTTGCAAAAAGGGTCAAGAAATCTCTTCAATTACCTTCTGAGGAATCTAGTTTCCTTGTGAGAGTTGACATGGGGTGAAGTGAAAATTGATGGAAGAGATGCAAAATTCAGTGGGTTGAATGTCTGAGTAACGGGTATGGACTTAACTGGCTTGATTGGAGAAAGACTATTTATATAGTTAAAGACAGGAGAATCCTGCGTCCAGTGAGAAAATACTCTTAGTTTCTTGAAGAAAAAAGAAATCACAAAGAGATCTATAAACACAGAGTAAACATTAATGTCTATACACACGAAAATCTGAATCTGAATCAAATACATAGATCAATTAAAGTGAAAAAGAAAAAAAAGAGTAAAAAGAAAAAGAAAGCAGATATATTGATCACCAATTACTGTTACATGCAGTACATTTGATAAAATCATCAATACTTGTTAAAAAGAAGAAGAAGAAGAAGAAGAAGAAGAAGAAGAGAAAAAGGTGAATCATGAATAGGATATGGAATCATGAATGACATGTATTATTCTCAGAACAGTTAAAACAAACACTAACAATGCTTTGTCTCAAGATATATGCAAAAAGACGACCAAATATATGATGGTTTTAACAAATTCAGGGAAATTCAGAGGAAACCCTCAGAACATAGGTTTTATCAAAATCCGGGTGAGCAAATTCTGAGACAAAAGAAAGAAGATTTGTGGAATAATTTGCAAAAGGCTTTTATTAAAATTTAGGACCAGAAAGATTACTCGAATCTAGTTGATGAACTGAAAGTGAATTATGCTAAGGTATTTTTGTATAGATAAAAAAACAAAGACAAAACAACACCACCCAAACAAACGCAGAAACTTAAAAACCACAAGAACCCAGAAAGCAGAAATGACCGTATAAACCGCTAAAACTTGAACTTAAACACGGAGATCTACATCACAATTCACTGAAATTCAACAATTCCCACAAAATAAAACCACTTTCTTAAATTTACAACCACAAAACACAAAAAGTCTCCCTAAAAACACCCAATTCAACAAACAAAACCCACTCAAGAACCAAATCAAACTGCATGCAGCAACAAAAACCCACAAAACAAAACAAGATTTAAACCCCACAAAAACGAAAAAAATAAAATAAAATTTCCTTCACCTCAAATTTAGACAGTGGAGTAGCGATCTGGGTAGTCTTCTCAGGAGTGTCCATGTTACTCTTTATCATCAAACAAAGAACAATCTTCACCACCACCACATATCTCTTACAAGACAAACCTTCAAACTAAACTAAGTTCAAACATACTATATCCTCTCTCTCTCTCTCTCTCTCTCTCTCTCTCTCTCTCTATTGATGTAATAGGATATTATCTAGTATGTTTGGTTGAGTTGGGTTGGGTTGGGTTACTTTGTGTCTCAACTCTCAATTCGTTAGTTTGTCCGAGATTCAAGAAGGAGCGGGAAGGCGGGAAAGAGTGAGTGAGAGAGTGAGTGAAGTGTTGATTCTCTCGTGTGTGTAACCCACATAAGACCCTACCACCGAACCCCACTCTCTATATCAGTATCCGTAACAGCTGGCTCCATTTTTATTTCCTCTGCCTCCATTTTTTCTATAAACTAACATCCATATCATTCACTTTTTAATAAAGTAACCGTGAATCTTCCTCTTTACTCCACCTGGATTTTCGTTTCGTTTTCTTTTCTTTATTTATTTATTTATTTTTTTCCTTTACTTTAACTTTTCGTTTAAAGCAAAACTATTTGTTGCTGTAATTAGTTGGTTCTGTTTTGTCTTTTTATGCCCATCTTTTTGTTACTGACACTGTAGATTTTCTGTATGTACATACAGACACAGTAACATTTCAATTTACTATTGTACCCCTGATTAAAAAAGGTAAAATAAAATTTGGTCAAAGATAATGGCCACTTAAAAGTGTAAAAAGATTTACAGAATTAGAATTTATATTTAATATCAGCATTTAATTATATTATTGAGTCATCCATTTACTTCAAACCATGACTTTCAGTGCATGCTGTTTTAACAAGTAAACTTCTCTAACACCATTACATTTGATTCCATCTTGTAATAAAATTTTACCAAATAATTCATAAAAAAAAAAAGTTCAATTAAATCATAAAAAAAGTATTTATTTATTTACGTTCAGAATATGTAAATTGTTTTTTTTTCTTTTGCAGTAATTATTTCACACAACGCACGTTGGACAGAGCGGGGAGTCCGGGGACCATAGTTTGAAAGGGTGATAGTTGACGTGTAAATTTAAATATACGGAGATTTCTGTTGCCTTTTTTTATAAATTTAATTATATGTTTTATTATCATATTTATTGCCGTTTTAATTTACTTATTATTTGTAACATCAAATAAACCGTAGAAAAAATGTTAATGGTGAATTCTATCATTTAAATTATCTCATAATTATGAAGATAAGCACCTAAATCATGCATTATAACGTCTAAAATTGTATGATACTTAAAAATAATTGTCCTTTTTAATAACATTTATTATTTTCATCAAACATGTCTTGTAAGTTACAACTTAAAGGTTAAATAATATTATTTATATAAAGTACATCAAATAAATTAATGTTATGATATAATAATTCGACCTAAAATTAAAAATAAACGAAATAAATTAAAATACACTAATGTGAGTAAGCATGTGTAAGTTATAACTAAAACATAACTTAAGTATTAAAACCAACGTTTGGGTGGTTGAATGATTCGATCTCAAGAGGTTTTGAGATAAGTCATTCATTGGTTGCTAATAAAGATGACCACTAAAGCTCTTATTCGATCAGTAATTTCAAGGTTTAGTAGATTAGTTGAGGTGTGCGTAAACTGGCCGTGATACCTTAGTCATAAAATAATAATAATAATAAATAAATATTAAATTGATTAGTTTGTATGTATAACATTCATTTTAAAGTTTTATATTCTTATTTAATTCCTTTGTCACGTTTCAACCTATTAATGATGGTATTAAGTATCCAAATTTAATGTTAAATATTGTGTTGATTTTAGCGTTACAACTTAGCAAAAACAATTATTACTGGAAATCTTAAAACTTGTTAACGACGTGATTAAATATATAAAACTTGGGTCCAACCAATAAAAAAAATCTTAAATTAATTTAAGACTTTTGGATCGTTTACCATACCTGGTCAATCCATTAAACACTTAAATCCACTGCATATAATATAAAATAATTTCAAACACGTGAATTCATTTAATACAATGCAATATTTTCATACCATATTGTATTAATTAATAATTAACACATTAGAAACAAACATAAATGGATGTACCAATAGTTCCGTAACATAATAAAGTTTGATATTATAGTAAGATGAAAAAAAATAAAATTAAACCATGACTTACACCAAGCGCCATAATTGCATCCACCATTTCACAATTATGTCGACATCATGTTGGATCAATATTAGGTAAGCTCTAATTACTAGTTACTACTAGTCCTCTATTAATTTGGGGGCATCATTCTTTATTTATTATTTCACATTTTCAATGTTTGGTTGGTTACCTTTAGTCAATGCAAATAGTTTGGTTTAGTTAGTTATATTTATATATACCTCGTTAAACATTGACTTGACCATCACAAAAGACCCGTGACAAAGTGAAATTTACTTTTATATCCTTTCATTTACGTTATAATCATTATTTTAATTTGGAATAATGTAGGGCCAATACGGAGAATGTCTTGTGCGGTCCAACACAAAAGACAATTGGCGCGCAAAATTTTCAAAAGGCAGCTTATATAGTACAATGCATACCCATCAGTGGCCATGGACACTCTCATGTGTACCACGAAGATCACCAATCATAGTGTGGGGACTTGGTTAATTTGATTGGATGTGAGGTGCGATGTTCCATTGTCGTGGAAAAAACGAACATGGTGCTCCATTTATCAAGAATGGAGCTCAATAGTCAACTCTATTCCTTGTGTTTCCATTCAAAAAAAAAAAAAAAAATGTTAATTAATTAATTAAATTCCTTGGACGGAAGGAGACATGAACAAAGGGACAGAGGACACTACCTAGTTTGTTGGCTTTTCACATCAAAGTTTTGAATGTACCTTACGGCTTACGGTTAGAAGGGGTCCACTACCCGAATCAAGATCGATTGCTGTTTTGTTTTCACGATCACGACACGTGTATGGTTTTGGTAATAGTGTTTTTACGCTCAATTAATAAATATTTTGAAGTTTTGACAAAAGTATGGTGCCAAAATTAAACTGTTGGATTAACAATTAGGTGTGACATAAATATTTATATGTTTAATAAAATAAATACACCCTGTATGTGTGAAAAGAATTATGAAATACTGTAGAGAATAAAGTAGCCGCGAATACCAAAATTATTTGACTTTTACAGATTCTTTGATCTAATGCTAGCCTAATGTTGTATTATATCTTTAACTTGTGTATTAGATGAGGTATAATTTTGTATTGCCTATATGTTAATCATGATTCATGATCACTGTCACATTATTTATGATGTAAACAAACTCAATTGTGAGTAATCTAGATAGTTATGATAAATTGAAGATAATGTGGATAGACGTATAGTGTCATATTTAATTCTTTATATAAGAATCTTTGATTTAAGCCTAGTTAGTAAATTCGCGTATTATTATTCACAAATTACCGTATTTTATCAGTCTAGCTGTATTATTCGCGAATTATATGTCTCAACCGTATTATTTGAGAATTATTCCCGTATCTAAATTTTTACAAACGTGTTTTTTACTATTTGTCGTATCATATCCATACCTTTTTTTTGCTATACCTGTATATTTGAAATGTTATATAGATTTTAATCTAATGACCCATGAAAAGTGCTAAAACTCGGACTAATATTGCTGTATTTTTCAAAACGTATTATTGACAATGTGTCATATTAAACCCGTATATATTCGTACCATATTTTTTCCGTATCCGAATTTTATGACCGAATTTTTACAAACATATTTTTCACCATTTATCGTATCCAGTGGTGGATCCAGCCACTTTTTGGCCCACCCTCAAATTTTTTTTTTAATATTAATATGTAAATTTATATATTTTGGCCCCCCCTAAAAAAAATATTAATAGACAAAAATAGTAATGTATAATAAATTTTTATTTTGGCCTACCCTAAAAGAAATTCCTGGATCCGCTACTGAATTCGTATCATACCCGTAAAATTCTCTTACCCTTTTTTTGCTATACCCGTATTTACTAACTAGGGATTTAAGTGGGAGGCTATGGTTATAGTCATATCAATATTATAATCAAATTATTATTTTATCTCTTATTTTGTGGTATGATGAAATCTTTAGTCACTAAAGTTAGTTATACTAAGGAGTTTTATATTATAAGTCATGGAAAGGGAATTACCAAGTTTATCGAATATGTCATTTAAGAGATCATTAAGTCGTAAACGCATATGTATTTTTTAAAATTAGGACACATGTTAGATATGGGGTTTTTATAATTTTGTAAGAGATTTAAATGTTTTTAAACAATTTTTCAAAATTTGTTAGACGTTTGAGACTTAATAATCCATTCTCAGATTAAGGGGTATTCTTCCTGTTAATATATAGTATAATGTAAGGTTAGTTAGAGGTAGAATTATGAAATAATCTCTTTATTCATTAAAATATAATACAATTAATTCTACTGCAATTCCTTAATCCTAAATCTTTACTTTATTACCAAACAGCTTTTTACTTTTGCCCTCAGTGGTCCCTCGGTTTCTCAGCTCATAATTAACTAAAAAAGAAAAAAAAACTAACAGTAACAGTAGCAGAGAGATGCAGACTTAAATGATAGATTTTTAATTTTTAATTGATATTTATTGTTTTCCAAATTCCAAGCTCTCCCCACATTCTCTGATCATAAACTTCATGCCAAAATCATAGTGTCGACTACACGCCTACTTTCTTCATCACATGATAATGCCCACTGCCACGTGACACAATCCCAAATCATCATAAGAATTTCCTATTATAAAAGATTAGATAATAATTCTTTACTTAATTTAACGTAAAGTTTCAATACCTTTTGCGAATGTCATGCTGCAGCTGCTCAGTTGACTACTTGGTTACTCATTCATTCTTTATTCAGGAAGATGCTCCCAACTGCACACCAAAAAAATAGAGTCAGAAATGAAGGCCATAAACGAAACCAGAGGCAATATGTGTTATAAAATACCTAGAACAAAACACTGCATTAATTTGTACTTTGTTGCAGATTATATGAATATTATATTTCTATATATAAATTAATGACTACTGGGTTCTGGGATTTTGTGGTGGGTTTGGTAGGCTTTATTTTTTTTCTTTAATGGATGCTTTGTTTTTCTTCATGTTTTGTTGCTAAATCAACCTTCCTTATTGACATTCATGTAAGTCCATTGCCTTTTTTATTTTTATATTCAGTTGCTTGAATTATTTACATCTCAAATTTCAAAACTAGATTGACTGGTTTCCTAAAGCAAAATCAAATCCTGAAAGTAGTAAATTGGGTCCATTTAAGCCACGATAATTGGTTTTGGATTTTGAAATAAGTGGACTGTTCAATTGGGTCCTGTATAATTGAAGGGCCCATTTTCATGATCTTAGCCGATAGGCCAATGGAACTGTTCAATGATAATGATTGGTTGTTGATGAGCCACTTTCTGGAAAAAGTAGAGCGTCTTTGAATGTGTTGGTGTTGGTGATGGGCCATTTTATTATATTATGTCAAGCTCATTGATTTGACTTGATGTTCTTCCAATTTTTGTACCTTTCGACTGCTCCACATGTTAAAGCAATTTCTTTCATCCTTCCATTGTGCTTATTGCCTAACATGTTTAATTCATCGTTAATGTTTATGACTAGGTCAACTAATTTAGCCTTAAGTAAGCATTAAAGAATAGTGTATTATTAAGAATGTTATATTAATAGGAAAATAGATTACTTTAAATATTAGTTTAATTGAAATAAATTGATAGGTATATTATACAGATTATTGAATTACTCTTCTTTTTTAATATTATTATTATTATCTGAACTATTTCTTTTAACCCTTTATGGTTAAAATTATTCATGAAAATTCTTGTAAATTGTTTAGATAACAAGGACATTACTGTCTAGAAAATTTATTAATAAATGATAAAATTGTAACAAAAATAAGATTATCAAGTAATCTAACAATACTTGAAAAAATTGTGGTAATCAGATTACCATATGTATAACTAACTGCGATTACTATTGGTATTGAAAGATTACAAGAATTTTATATTATTTGACAATAAAACATAACAAAAGTAATATAAGATGACAATATTCCAGCCTGAAGCTGAACCCATCTTGCTTAAATGAGTTCACTCCAATGTTTTGATGTATAATGCCAAACACTTTAGTCTAAACTTGTATAATTGACAGGGCTTGTGCATGCAACATGCTGTAAACATTTTTGAATTAAGCACATTTCACCTTTAATATTTGTGTTTTAATATACAGCCTTCTTAACGACAGAATCACATAAATCTCTTGGCCTGTTTCATGCTTAAGTTTGCAAGACTGCAGCATGATTTTAGGCCATGAACAAAGTTGTTTACACATTCCCCAGTTCAAAAGATTTGCCTTACAGTTAATAAGAAATGAATTTCTATGTGGAATTTTATATTAAATGTTGTCGTTCAATGCTTCAAACTGTTTTGTCTTTACATATTCAAATATGTTCGGTGTTAGATATGGTGTATACTTTTTTATGTCTAGATGGATTATAAACCTAATATCTAATTTGGTTTAAAGTTAGTTTACTAATATTTGAGTCTGAGTCGGGTTAGATTTGGGTAAATCCAAATGGGGTTAGGGTTCTATTATGTATTATCTGTAATAGTGAAAAACCTAATATGTGAAAAAGAACAGAGAACGAGAGTGACTATTATAATTGCGTCAAGTTTTGATACTTAATAAAATTATTTATTTGAATGCTGGACATAGTTACTTGATTGGAACGAACCAGTATAAATCATTATGTTATGTTATTATTTTATACTTGTGATTGACGTGTTTGTCTTTCGGTTTCAACATTTGGGACTCATACCTTGTTTTCTCCTGATTTTTATATGACTACTTATACATTAGTTGTTTACAATGCTGAATTTGACTGAATAGTGATTTCTGTATAATCCTGAGACCAATAAGTTTACACAGGTTTGGATATCATCGCTGGTCAACTGTTGAGTAAATGGTCTTGTTTAATGCGATGAACCAAGTCATAAGCAAGCCAGCTAAATCGTTCTATTTTACGATTCTTAACTTGAACTTTTGCATGATGTTTGGCTATTAGTTTAACGATTGCGCGTGCATGCATGCATTGTTGTAATCGCCAAGCCGGATGCTCCTCTGTGTAAAATCAAAAGTATCGATCGAAGAATATTAGTTGATCAATTGGAGTTGAAGATTACGACAATTGTGATTCATTCGATAATTCTTTAGTAATGTTTAAAAAAAGCTATAAACCTAATTAATATTATTAGTTTCTATTTACGGTAATAACAAACTAGTTAAGTGTGTTGATTTTTGTCAATTAATTAACCAAACGTTGCTCTTTAGTCGGCCAAGACAATAACGAAACACATTTAATCAAGAATAGTTCATCACAATATGGGATAGCCACTTGAGATATTTCTTGGTTAGTAGTTCCAAGTCTCGGGGGATTAATTGAGGTTTACGTAAACTAGTCTAGATATTTTCGATTATTAAAAAAAAAAAAAAAAAAAACTAATTACGACAGATGTCGTTAAGAATCATTTTCATAACCTCTCCCTTTGTGGTCGGATGACAAACTCTTTAACCATTGGGGTTAGTTATACCCAATGGGTATTGTGTATAAGTCACAAGAGAGTTATCTACCATATTTTTGCAACTATCTTGGTTCATTGAGCTTGTATAGGTACATACCATAAGTGGTGCAAAACATTTATCGGCAATACTTTGGTTATTGGGGACCTTTTGGTAGATTATTTGAAAAATGATATTCTGAAAACCATTTTAAGTTGAGTTGAGTTTGATTAAATCAAATGTGATATGATTATGAGAATGTGTTTGGTATAATATCTGAAAATTATATTTGGATAAAATGCTGAAAAATTGTTTGATACATTTTTGGAAAACATTTAAATTATTTTTCAACCTCTTATATTTGTTAATTTAGATAAACAACCATCCACAATAAAAGTTAAAAAATGAACAAAAATACCCCCACTCACCCAAGCCATTGTCGGTCGTCGGTCACCATGACTGGACGGCAGTCGACATTTGCTAGAACGACGCATGATCAACTGGATCTGGCTAGTTGTGCGCCGATCTAACATTTTTTAGCCTGATCTATGGCCATAATCTGGCCGTCGTTAATAACTAAAACATGGTCATCAACGATGACCAAAATCTAGCTGTCGTTAATGGCTAGATAAATCTGGCCAGAATCTGGTTGACACGGTGGATCTAGTTGAAAACGGTCAGATTGATGCAGACTGGCTAAGTCTGGCTAGTCATGCGTCGTTCCGACGTAGGTCGCGACGATGGTCTTGGGTGGATTAATTTTCAGCTTGGGAGGATTGAAAGGTAATTATTTTTAGTTAAATAAAGTTGGAAAAATGTTTTAAATTGAATAGAATAGGATAATAGAAAACAAGTTCGCCGCTTTTCATTTTCAATAGAAAAAATCTTATTTCAATTATATTAATTTTCAGAATAATGATCTCAATAAACAAACAAACACATATTTTATTTTTTACTCCAAATAGGATAACAGAAAAATGTCTGTAAATATTTGATTTATTGACTAACTAAAATGATATAACTTATTAGAAACGAAATAACTAAAATGACAGATATTGTGGATAAATAATTTGCTTAAATCACGGACATAAATTCAAAATTAGCACCAAATATAACACATTGTCAATTCTTGGATATTTGAATGATATTTTGAATATTAATTTATAGAAGAAGTGGAGCAATTTGCATAGGTGGCACCGAGAATCAGCTATGTAAAGATTTTAATTAATTTAAGAAAATTAAAACAATGTAATATGCAATTATAGAAAGCTATTTGGAGGTTTTTGGTTTGCCTTTTATGGTGTCTTCAACCTTACCTCATTTGCTAACTTAATCAATTTCATTTCTCAAATTTAGTATTCTTCTATTTCTAATTTATTTCCCATAATAAATAAATAAATAATCATAAAATTAGTAAAGAATTTGAAAGCCTTATTTAGCAACCCCGCGCTTTTCTCTCTTCTCAAAACTACCATTTTTCTTTTATTTCTTCGCCTTCTTCCGATATACATAGCCACCATCCCTCTCTCTCTGTGTAGCCGCAAATTTTCGTTTTTGGGTTGAACCCGAAATCATCATCATCATCATCATCTTCTTTTTTATTTCTTTTAACTAGTGGTTCTGTGCTGAGGCGGTGGTGGTGGTGGTGGTGATTTTGATAATGATGATGATGATGATGTTATGAAAAAGCTTTGATTCTTTTAAAAAAGAGGCTGAAACACCACCACCGACTCTGATTCGATATTCAGGTTTAATAGTTTTCAAAGTCAACTTTCTCGTCTCGCTTGTTCTTTGTTTGCTTTCTTTTGGATTGCTGGGTTTTTGCATGGTGTTTTTTCACTTTCATTTTTTATTCCAAAATTTTATTTCTTTTAGTTATTTGATTTCAATTTTCTCTTTTTAAGTTTCTGGGTCATTGGTCTTGGTCAGATATTGGTGGGAATTGGGTCGCTTTCTTAGGGTTACTTTTGTTCTCTTGTGTTTTATTTATAATTTCCTTTTAAAAGATAAATTTTTTTTTTTTTTTTTTTGGGCTTGGTGATGGGGAAATTGTGGTTGTGAACTTTCAAGAGAATATAAGAAGGCGATACACTATTCGATATACTTATGGGTGGCTTTTTACCGTCAGAATTTATCTTTTTTTGGGTATTACTTTTTTGGGTAATAAAGTCAGTCTTGGAGGGAATTCGAACAGGAACTGTGGTTGGTGAAGCTTGTTCTCTGTTTGATAGAATTTTCTCTATTTAATTCATCATTTTCTGATTTGAGTATAGTGTTATTTTGGTGAATATTTCTAGTTAAGAGGTGGTAAGTTTTGATCTTTTATGTGTTTGATTCAAGGCCGTTGACCATGAATCTGTAATTATCATGTCTATCAAGACATCAAGTAGATAAATCGTTTCTGGCTTTGTTCTTTCTTCATCCTTGAATTCAAGGTACCCTTTGGTGTTGAAGAGTTTGTTCATTTGTGTTGTTGAGTTTATTTAGAGTTTTGAATATGGATTTGAATACAAAAGATGGACTTGGAGTTGCCAAGTTTCCAAAGAAATTTGATAATCAGGAGGGAAGTGTGAATTCAAAAATGAAGGGTACAGGGAGTATTAGTAGCAAGGACATGCTTGTGAGAGCTGATAAAGTTGATCTGAAAAGCTTGGACATGCAGCTGGAGAAGCACTTGAGCTGGGTTTGGTCTAGAAATTCTGAAAGCCAAAGGATTAAAGAAGAGTGGGAGATTGATTTGTCTAAACTGGAAATCAGGAATGCCATAGCTCATGGGACCTATGGGACTGTTTTCCGTGGCGTTTATGATAATCAAGATGTTGCAGGTATTACCCTCTATTTTCTTTTTTCTTGTCAGTTAGATACGATATGTTTAATGGTGCTTAAACTCTTGCTTTGAGTGTTATAAATATGAAATTGATGCTTATCTGTCATTTGGTTCTCCCATGAGTATATAAAATTATGTGAAATGGTGTATGAAACTATGGTGAGAAAATGGTTCTCAACTTGCCATCAGTGGTATCCATTTGATAATCCATCCGTAAAATCTCATTACAGAATCCTTCCTGCTTCTTTTGGGTATTCAATGAGCATAAACAGCAATAAAGTTGGGAACAAAAGTTTGAATGTTTGAATTGTCTGGTTCAGATGAAAGTTCATCTGAACGAGAGCTCTTGCATTACATGGCTAAAACTGGTTTTTCATGGTCAGATTTGATATGGATCATATGAACTAAACTTAATTGGGTTTTGCTGTGGGATTCTAATTATATAATTGGAAAGCATGTAATATATTAATGTATATGTTGTTTGGTGATGCTTTTTGATTGATCCATGTTATCAATCTTGTGGAACTCTGTTGAAAGTTTGTGGACTCATCAATCTCCATTTGCTTTTCTGATTTAAATAACAGGAGTCACTAATAATTAATGCTTGTAACATTCATTCAGTGTTGTTGTTGAGATTAATTAATTGGTTTAAAGAATGCATTAAATTTTCTTTTACCTTCAACTGGGACATGATGAAAACTAAAGCTATTCTTATGAAAATAAATACACTTGATTGGCTTTTTGCAAAGACACTCCCCATAATTTTTTCTTACATTATCTTATTTTACCCCAATACCATTTACTCTGTTATTGAATCTTTGAATTCTTTATTAGATGTTTTGACTCATAATTATTTGGGTAGGGACAATCTAATTTTTGATCATCTCTTACTCGTGGGCATGCATACATGCATCCACAAACAAATCCTAGCTTTAATCATATATATATCAGAATTCTCCAGTTGTAGTTTCATCCAAAAGAATGGATAGAAACCATGTATCCACCTAGATAGATGTGATAAATTGTAGATGAGTCAACTCTAATTATTTTTCCTATGTACTCTTATTTGAGTTACTTAGAGTGTATTTTACTATTTTTCTCCCAAGCTCATGAAAAAATATGTAAAGTATGCTCAGCTGCTTTTATAGTTATTTGAGGATTTTATAATTTTATAAATATGATGGATCAGCTACTAGTTACCAGAGGAATGCCAGCCTCACTTTGAAGTTAAAGTTGTAGTTCAAATATATGTTGGGCTTAGAAGTATATTAGACAAACTAGTTAGGTTTTCTGTCTGGTAATGAAGGAATGATACGATTTTGCTCTTCTTGGGGTTATGTGGGAGTGTTGCTGGTCAACAAAGGAAACCTCTGTTTTATCCCTGTATTGAGTTTTACTGTCATTATAATTTAGGTATTTGTACTTTATTTTGCTATGACAGTCATATTTATTCAGTACTGAATTTTGTTTAATGATGTTAGGATTTTTACATTCCTCATGAATATGTTGTGTGATTCAAGAACATTTGAACATTCAGAAGATTGTGTCATATAATGCTTTGCATGTGCTAGGCTTGAAGTCTTATTGGATTATCTTTAGATTTCAACTCATTGATGAAACTGAAGCTTAGTTATTTTAGTTCAAATTCTTCTCCTTTGGAGAGCCTAATATGCCTTGAGCACCTTATTGTTGATATCAAATTTCACAGTAATTTTGTGTTGAATGTTATAGTGAAGCTGCTGGACTGGGGGGAGGATGGTATTGCCACCACTGCTGAAACTGCTGCTCTGCGGGCATCATTTCGGCAAGAGGTCGCCGTATGGCAGAAGCTCAACCATTCTAATGTTACAAGAGTAAAATTCAATTCTTAAACTTGTTATTAATTTTATGGATATTCACTGACAAATGACAATATTTTAATGTAAAATATGGGACATTTAGGGTTCATGATTTCTTTTGTGTAACTTGTGAGGGATTAACAACAATATCTTCATTGGGCTTGCCTAGTGTGCTAGTATCTGCCTCTTCCATAAGATTATGATTTTTCTAAGGGAGTCTTTGATTTTTTTTTTTTTTTTTTTTTTTTGAAGAATGGGACATGATACAAAAATCTATATTGTATTATAAAAAATTTATAATATCGGAATATGCATTTGATAAAATGTTCAAAAGCTGTTGTTATAGTTTTAAACTGTTGAAAAATGTAAACGATTTTTTTTTTTCAATTTTTATATTAGTTTCTAAGAATGAAAACTATTTTTTTTGGGAAGCATTTAAGCTATATACATTTTTAATTTATTTATGAAATTCTTATATATCCCCTGTTTCTGAAGATAAAGGATTGCATTAAACTTCTAATGCAATGGCCTTAAAATTCTCAACATGTTAAATTGAAATTGAAATTTTAATTTTTTTTTTTTATATCTTTTTAGTAATGATTTTTTATTTTTTATTTCAAATCTTGATACAGTTTGTGGGAGCTTCAATGGGAACCTCAAATCTTAAGATTCCTGCAGAAAACCCTTCAAGTGATGGTAACCCCACCGTTCCTCCTAGAGCGTGTTGTGTGATTGTGGAATATCTTCCTGGTGGGACACTAAAACAGTATTTGATAAGGAATAGGCGAAAGAAACTTGCTTTCAAGGTTGTGATTCAACTTGCCTTGGACCTCTCTAGAGGGTAAGTCTTGTTCTCTGTCATTCTTGGTGAAAATACAGTATAATTTTTTCCTCTTGTTGATAATCATTTTTTAAACTCTAATTTGCAGTCTTAGCTATCTGCATTCAAAGAAAATTGTGCATCGTGATGTCAAAACAGAGAACATGTTACTGGATGCACACAGAAATCTCAAAATCGCTGATTTTGGTGTTGCTCGTGTTGAAGCTCAAAATCCACGAGACATGACTGGTGAAACTGGTACCCTTGGATACATGGCCCCTGAGGTATTCATCTCTGCTTAAAGCTTTAATTGTTTCTTGGGGCAGAATAATTTGGAAACTCAACTTTTATGTTATGACCTATTATTATTCATTAAAAGTGAGTAGAAAGAATTTATGGTGAGTCTAAGAGAAATTTTTTCTTTTTGAAATTTGAGTTGTATGTTTTGAATTCTAATTTCAAGTATGGAGTTAAAAATATTTATTCTTGATGATTGGGTGGTTGGGTTTGGGCCTTTAGAATTGTATCCTTCTTAGAAGAGGTGATACTATCATAAGACTGCTACATAAATATGCACATACTGTTATACAGAAACAAGAAAACATCTGTATTTGCATAATATTCGGCAAATGAGTGACAAATTAAATGCAGAACTAAGAAACCATGTTCTTATTTAGGAAATATTCTGCATCACAAACAGCATAAATGGTCAATGACAGGCCTGACAAACTTACACAATGCTTAATGTAGGTTCTCCAGGGCAAGCCTTATAATAGAAGATGTGATGTCTACAGTTTTGGAATATGCTTATGGGAAATTTATTGCTGTGATATGCCCTATCCAGATCTTAGCTTTGCCGATGTGTCATCTGCTGTTGTTAGACAGGTTAGCTCTGATGCTTCAATAATTATCTTTGCTCTGCAACTTCTGGTCAGGCTAGTGTTGACTTATCTGTTTGCTATGTTGAATAGTATCTGCTTTCTAATTGTTTTTTTATCAACGAGCATTCAATAGCTGTTTTAAGAGACACCTTTTGTTTTCTTCTACTGAGCGTTTAAATTCAGAAATGTACTTGATTTGGGTGTGTTTTTGCATGTTTCAGATCGTTTGAAGGAAGTCTAGTTTAATAAACTGTGGCTCAAATTTACAATTTCTTTATAGTGATACTTTTCCTTTTCCAAGACCATTCTAATGGTTTGATTCATGCCTTTTGTTGCTACTGGGAATGATATCAGTTTTTCCATTTGCAATCTGGCTTAGCCATCATGTGATGTACAGAAGTTTTTAGTTTCTTCACATGGGTGGAAAGCTTAAATTGGTCGGTGTCTGGCCATCTGAGACAATTGGTAGAATATAATTATATGAATTATGAATAAAAAATAGAAATTTATCAGTTTTTTCTTTTCTAATTACATAATTGACAGAGTGGGGTTTGATCTAGCATCTAGGAATTTGTTTATGCAACTATAAATGTATCTTTAATTTATATATGGGAAAGCAATAATCTTTGACATGTTTCACATCAGAACTTATTGTAGGAGACAATCCTCCGTAAGTGGTTGTGATATTTCTTAAATAGCATAAACTAACAAAAAAAAAGTAAAGTTATTTGGACCTAAGAAAATTTCAAGATTTTTGTTAACCCTTATTATGAACTACTGTAATGATTGCGTGTTTAATGTTGGGAGTTTCATATTACATTGGTTCCTTGCAGAATTTGCGACCAGATATTCCTAGATGTTGTCCGAATTCTTTGGTCAATGTCATGCGAAAATGCTGGGATGGAAATCCAGAAAGACGTCCGGAAATGGATGAGGTGGTGAGAATGTTAGAAGCAATTGATACAAGTAAGGGTGGTGGAATGATACCTGAAGACCAGTCTCGAGGTTGTTTCTGTTTTGCCCCTGCTCGTGGTCCCTGATACTGTTTCTGCTCGACTTCTATGCATGACAGAAGCCGAAGATGCAGGAACTGCTGGATTATTTGCTTTCTGATTGTCCTGCAAAGAACGTTAAAAAATATTTCAGTAGTGTACATGATCAGGGAAAAGGTTTATGCTTTTTACCTATACTCTTGTTACAAATGAAGACTTTTACAACCTATATTTGTGTTCAAGTTACTGAGCCATGTTACACATACGAGTTACTGCACACATCCTGCAAAAGCACACTTATGATTAACGGCAGTGTTTGGTTTTAGATTGAGAATATGCGAAGTTCATGCCAGAAACGATGAAATTATGTAAAAAAGCGGTTTTGATAGGTCTCTTATATTTTCCTTTCTGTCCGTACGTACGTATTGTTGAAATGTGAGAAAGTGTCCTTTTCCCCCCTTGTTTTCTTAGTTCCAGTTCATTCCTAAACTCAACATTGTGCATTTGGGCGGTCTTACTTCTTTCCCTAAATCAAACATTTTCCCACTAGCAAATGAACCCTTCCATCAGCATATCGAAAACCTCCAAAACATTTTGATGGGGAAATCCTGCGAATGTTTCAGGGTTAATTTACATTTGCGTAACATTAGCAGGGAAGGGTAAACTTTACATTTGTGGTGAAATGGAAGCAAATTCTTATTGAAACTCCTCGCGAGTTTCAACTTAGAATCAAGAAACTTTTGTCTACATCTGTACTCCCTAGCGTTCTTTTTTCACTCCTTCCTGAATACCCTAGAAAATTTGATAGCTTTGTAGGTAATTATTGTCAGGACGAAATCTCTTCCGGATAATCTTCATAATAAGTGGTTTTTGCATATTCAGATAAATCATTGAAAATGAAAACTTTCTTGGCCAAATGGTCTTCGTGTGTGTTACCTCAACTCCTGAAACAAGTTAAATAAAAACCTTATCATGGATAGGATAGCTCACCTGGCTTTATCCAAATATACATCAAAGTCAAAAAGCAAACTTGAATAGCAAAACTCTTTATCAGATTAAAAAAGTGAAACAAGACAGAACCTGGACTATTTCAAGGAATGTGGACAAAAGAGATTGGCCTCATACATTTAGTGCTCGTCCCTTTTGAGATGGTAAATTTAGCAAATAATGGTTTCATTGATTAATCTGATCTATTATTTTGTTTATAATATAAAAGGAATTTAGATTTGAGATGATAATGTTTGATTTAGAAATTCATTCACGGAATCTTACAAAACTGTTGCTGATAAAATTATTAATGAAAATAATAAAAATATCAATGACGTGTATCATTAGTTCATTACACGTGTGACGATAAACATCTCGCCTGTCAATTTCGTGTTTCCTTGTATCATTATAATTAGAGTAAACATCATATTCCCCGCCGAAGTTTAACAAAATAGCAACTTGATACTATTAATTTCATTTATTCTAGATTTCTACCCTTAAAAGTAACACTGTTTATTTGGTGGTGATAGGGTTGGCTTTTAGGCGGTAATTGGGTGAGGACTTTAATTGAGTAGGTTATGAGCACTAATTTGAGCTTCGATTTTTATGACTGGAGAGTCACCAACGGCCAAAAAACATATCACAACAACTAACTGACAATGGAGAAGTTGGTAGTGAAGTCTGAAGAGGTCAGTTGTAGCAAAATTGATCAGAAAAAGCTTGAAAGTAACCCAATCTCACAAGGTGACAAGAATGAAGGTGGTCGAAAATGGTGAGTGAGATTCGGCAAGTGAAGATATAAGTTTTGTAGAGGAGATTATGGAGAGTCTAAAGATAGTCTCAAAAGTAATTTTGGACTTTGAAATCGGTAAAAAAAAGTCAAAAAGCGCTGGCTTGGACGCTATTAAAGTGAATCTGCCTCTGCTAAAATGCGCCATGATACTGTGTGTATGACTATTTTAACAAATGACCTTACTTTAAGGGTAAAAATTAGAATAAATGAAATCAGGGTATCAACAGGCTATGATGCTAAACCTCTGGTGGGAACATGTTTACTCTTATTATTATTCTTAATTAGCAATTAAGCCACTGCATTTGCTTTTAATTATTTGGATTATCTTCGTATTTGATAAAATGTTAAGAGTACGGGATTGCTTTAAATTTAATCTATTTATTTAAAGTATGATAGAATCAGTACACTTTGAATGGTTGAAATTTAATCTAATTATTTATTGTATAAATAACTTTAAAAATAAACTAAGACAAGGGCAATTCCGTAAATCGATATACTTCTCCCTATACTATATAAATAAATTTGAGAGCAGAGCAAAAAGTAGATGTTCGCTTCAGTTTAAATCGAACTAAGAGCTTTAACCGCCTAACCAAAACCAAATCCAACTTCTTTTCTCTATTTAATTTCTTTATTTCTCTTTCGGTCCGTCCAAATGGAATTGGGAAGCACCGATATGTCGTCATTCATGACTGATTTCCTCCAAAAGTGTGGTGGCTTCGCCGTCGTTGATGGTGGTTTCGCCACCGAGCTCGAACGCCATGGCGCTAACCTCAATGACCCTCTTTGGAGCGCCAAGTGCCTTGTCACTTCTCCTCACCTCGTCAGAAGGGTACTCTCTCTAATCTCTATACTATTGAAATACTATATCTATACATACACACAACACTTACACGCACGATTATATAACAGATAGATTTACGTACACTCTCTTGTTTCTTTTTGAGTTCCTCTGTTTGCTTCATGAGAAAAATGAAGTTGGGTTTGTTTACTTTTTTAAGTCTCGGCTTCTTTCTTGTATGCGAAGATTCATTTTAGGTCTCTCTAGGTGGCTTCTGGAGACTGGAGTCCGGACTTTATTGAGCTATAAGATCTTGGTAAATTGACCTTTTTTTTTTTTTTTTTATTGGAAGAAGTTCAATTTTTAACCCATAAAATCTGACGAAATTTAGGAGAGATTTCTGGAACAGGGTTCCAGTTAATGGAAAAAATAACTCTAAATTTTGAATAAAAAATATGAAAGTTTCGTCGATTATATCGATTATTTATTATGCTTCCAGGGTGAATATATTGAATTAAAAAATGTCAAATCAGGATATAAATAAAGTGTCTTATCCTCTGCAAATGACGTGGCGAGTATGTGGATGAGCTTTGCCGATGTGTCATCTGCTGTTGTTAGACAGGTTAGCTCTGATGCTTCAATAATTATCTTTGCTCTGCAACTTCTGGTCAGGCTAGTGTTGACTTATCTGTTTGCTATGTTGAATAGTATCTGCTTTCTAATTGTTTTTTTATCAACGAGCATTCAATAGCTGTTTTAAGAGACACCTTTTGTTTTCTTCTACTGAGCGTTTAAATTCAGAAATGTACTTGATTTGGGTGTGTTTTTGCATGTTTCAGATCGTTTGAAGGAAGTCTAGTTTAATAAACTGTGGCTCAAATTTACAATTTCTTTATAGTGATACTTTTCCTTTTCCAAGACCATTCTAATGGTTTGATTCATGCCTTTTGTTGCTACTGGGAATGATATCAGTTTTTCCATTTGCAATCTGGCTTAGCCATCATGTGATGTACAGAAGTTTTTAGTTTCTTCACATGGGTGGAAAGCTTAAATTGGTCGGTGTCTGGCCATCTGAGACAATTGGTAGAATATAATTATATGAATTATGAATAAAAAATAGAAATTTATCAGTTTTTTCTTTTCTAATTACATAATTGACAGAGTGGGGTTTGATCTAGCATCTAGGAATTTGTTTATGCAACTATAAATGTATCTTTAATTTATATATGGGAAAGCAATAATCTTTGACATGTTTCACATCAGAACTTATTGTAGGAGACAATCCTCCGTAAGTGGTTGTGATATTTCTTAAATAGCATAAACTAACAAAAAAAAAGTAAAGTTATTTGGACCTAAGAAAATTTCAAGATTTTTGTTAACCCTTATTATGAACTACTGTAATGATTGCGTGTTTAATGTTGGGAGTTTCATATTACATTGGTTCCTTGCAGAATTTGCGACCAGATATTCCTAGATGTTGTCCGAATTCTTTGGTCAATGTCATGCGAAAATGCTGGGATGGAAATCCAGAAAGACGTCCGGAAATGGATGAGGTGGTGAGAATGTTAGAAGCAATTGATACAAGTAAGGGTGGTGGAATGATACCTGAAGACCAGTCTCGAGGTTGTTTCTGTTTTGCCCCTGCTCGTGGTCCCTGATACTGTTTCTGCTCGACTTCTATGCATGACAGAAGCCGAAGATGCAGGAACTGCTGGATTATTTGCTTTCTGATTGTCCTGCAAAGAACGTTAAAAAATATTTCAGTAGTGTACATGATCAGGGAAAAGGTTTATGCTTTTTACCTATACTCTTGTTACAAATGAAGACTTTTACAACCTATATTTGTGTTCAAGTTACTGAGCCATGTTACACATACGAGTTACTGCACACATCCTGCAAAAGCACACTTATGATTAACGGCAGTGTTTGGTTTTAGATTGAGAATATGCGAAGTTCATGCCAGAAACGATGAAATTATGTAAAAAAGCGGTTTTGATAGGTCTCTTATATTTTCCTTTCTGTCCGTACGTACGTATTGTTGAAATGTGAGAAAGTGTCCTTTTCCCCCCTTGTTTTCTTAGTTCCAGTTCATTCCTAAACTCAACATTGTGCATTTGGGCGGTCTTACTTCTTTCCCTAAATCAAACATTTTCCCACTAGCAAATGAACCCTTCCATCAGCATATCGAAAACCTCCAAAACATTTTGATGGGGAAATCCTGCGAATGTTTCAGGGTTAATTTACATTTGCGTAACATTAGCAGGGAAGGGTAAACTTTACATTTGTGGTGAAATGGAAGCAAATTCTTATTGAAACTCCTCGCGAGTTTCAACTTAGAATCAAGAAACTTTTGTCTACATCTGTACTCCCTAGCGTTCTTTTTTCACTCCTTCCTGAATACCCTAGAAAATTTGATAGCTTTGTAGGTAATTATTGTCAGGACGAAATCTCTTCCGGATAATCTTCATAATAAGTGGTTTTTGCATATTCAGATAAATCATTGAAAATGAAAACTTTCTTGGCCAAATGGTCTTCGTGTGTGTTACCTCAACTCCTGAAACAAGTTAAATAAAAACCTTATCATGGATAGGATAGCTCACCTGGCTTTATCCAAATATACATCAAAGTCAAAAAGCAAACTTGAATAGCAAAACTCTTTATCAGATTAAAAAAGTGAAACAAGACAGAACCTGGACTATTTCAAGGAATGTGGACAAAAGAGATTGGCCTCATACATTTAGTGCTCGTCCCTTTTGAGATGGTAAATTTAGCAAATAATGGTTTCATTGATTAATCTGATCTATTATTTTGTTTATAATATAAAAGGAATTTAGATTTGAGATGATAATGTTTGATTTAGAAATTCATTCACGGAATCTTACAAAACTGTTGCTGATAAAATTATTAATGAAAATAATAAAAATATCAATGACGTGTATCATTAGTTCATTACACGTGTGACGATAAACATCTCGCCTGTCAATTTCGTGTTTCCTTGTATCATTATAATTAGAGTAAACATCATATTCCCCGCCGAAGTTTAACAAAATAGCAACTTGATACTATTAATTTCATTTATTCTAGATTTCTACCCTTAAAAGTAACACTGTTTATTTGGTGGTGATAGGGTTGGCTTTTAGGCGGTAATTGGGTGAGGACTTTAATTGAGTAGGTTATGAGCACTAATTTGAGCTTCGATTTTTATGACTGGAGAGTCACCAACGGCCAAAAAACATATCACAACAACTAACTGACAATGGAGAAGTTGGTAGTGAAGTCTGAAGAGGTCAGTTGTAGCAAAATTGATCAGAAAAAGCTTGAAAGTAACCCAATCTCACAAGGTGACAAGAATGAAGGTGGTCGAAAATGGTGAGTGAGATTCGGCAAGTGAAGATATAAGTTTTGTAGAGGAGATTATGGAGAGTCTAAAGATAGTCTCAAAAGTAATTTTGGACTTTGAAATCGGTAAAAAAAAGTCAAAAAGCGCTGGCTTGGACGCTATTAAAGTGAATCTGCCTCTGCTAAAATGCGCCATGATACTGTGTGTATGACTATTTTAACAAATGACCTTACTTTAAGGGTAAAAATTAGAATAAATGAAATCAGGGTATCAACAGGCTATGATGCTAAACCTCTGGTGGGAACATGTTTACTCTTATTATTATTCTTAATTAGCAATTAAGCCACTGCATTTGCTTTTAATTATTTGGATTATCTTCGTATTTGATAAAATGTTAAGAGTACGGGATTGCTTTAAATTTAATCTATTTATTTAAAGTATGATAGAATCAGTACACTTTGAATGGTTGAAATTTAATCTAATTATTTATTGTATAAATAACTTTAAAAATAAACTAAGACAAGGGCAATTCCGTAAATCGATATACTTCTCCCTATACTATATAAATAAATTTGAGAGCAGAGCAAAAAGTAGATGTTCGCTTCAGTTTAAATCGAACTAAGAGCTTTAACCGCCTAACCAAAACCAAATCCAACTTCTTTTCTCTATTTAATTTCTTTATTTCTCTTTCGGTCCGTCCAAATGGAATTGGGAAGCACCGATATGTCGTCATTCATGACTGATTTCCTCCAAAAGTGTGGTGGCTTCGCCGTCGTTGATGGTGGTTTCGCCACCGAGCTCGAACGCCATGGCGCTAACCTCAATGACCCTCTTTGGAGCGCCAAGTGCCTTGTCACTTCTCCTCACCTCGTCAGAAGGGTACTCTCTCTAATCTCTATACTATTGAAATACTATATCTATACATACACACAACACTTACACGCACGATTATATAACAGATAGATTTACGTACACTCTCTTGTTTCTCTTTGAGTTCCTCTGTTTGTTTCATGAGAAAAATGAAGTTGGGTTTGTTTACTTTTTTAAGTCTCGGCTTCTTTCTTGTATGCGAAGATTCATTTTAGGTCTCTCTAGGTGGCTTCTGGAGACTGGAGTCCGGACTTTATTGAGCTATAAGATCTTGGTAAATTGACCTTTTTTTTTTTTTTTTTATTGGAAGAAGTTCAATTTTTAACCCATAAAATCTGACGAAATTTAGGAGAGATTTCTGGAACAGGGTTCCAGTTAATGGAAAAAATAACTTTAAATTTTGAATAAAAAATATGAAAGTTTCGATTATATCGATTATTTATTATGCTTCCAGGGTGAATATATTGAATTAAAAAATGTCAAATCAGGATATAAATAAAGTGTCTTATCCTCTGCAAATGACGTGGCGAGTATGTTACAATATACCTTAAGAGTTTTGTAGTCTCATGTTATTGTTTTATGACAGCTGTCTTATTTCATGCAGTTAAACTTATATAATATTGTTCTGGTGCTTTGGATAACTTAATATATTTATCGTCTAAGCCATGGCAGAGGATCTATTTAACAGTGTTTCAAGCAGTTACAGTGACATACTTTTCCTGGGTGGAGCTCATCTAGTTTTGCACTTCCTTATTTTGTTAAATAAATATCTAATAAGCATCTAAGTAGCGATCGATAGATTAGTATTTCGTAATAATTATGCGCGTGGTTGATTATTTTGATACTTTTTAGAATAATATTTTGAAAAAAAGTAAAATTGGATGGTTATTACGATGTAGGATTTAGAAATTAACAAAAATATCCCTTAGATTTGTTTATTTATTAAACACTCCTATAATAAAATATTAAAAATTAACAAAAACACCCTCATTCACCCATTAAATATCGACAATCGGCCACCATTGTTGAAGAGTGACTAGAGTCGTCGTATTGATGCACGACCAGCTGGATCTGATAGGTAGAGCGTCGATATGACTTTTTTTGGCCAGATCTATGATTAGATCTGGCCATTGACGACTAGATTTGGCCGCATTTGGTTGTCAACGACGGTCAAAGATATGGCTGTCGTTGATGGTCAAAGATGGCCATATCTTGGCCATTATTGATGATTGGCTATGACCAAAGATTTGGTCGTAGATATGACCTTTTTCGATCAAATCTATAGTAGATTTAGTCAAAAAAGGCTAGATCGGTGCACTATCGGCTAGATCCAGCCGGTAGTGCGTCATTATACCAGATTCTAGCCAGTTTCCCGTAGTGGTAGCTGAAATCTAGCAAATGTGGATTGGTGGGGTGTTTTTGTCAATTTCTAAAAAAAATTTTAGGGGGTGTTTAGTTAAATTAATAAACCTAGGGGGTTTAAAAAAATTGAAAAAAATGGAATAATATTTGGAGAATAAGGAAATAAATGTGTATTTTGGATCGCATAGGGAATAGGGTAGGGAAAAATTGTGTACAAAGGAGCCTATATATATTTCCAGGGCACTTTATTAAATTCTTAAAAGCAAGCTTGCAGCTGCTGAGAAACTTTTAACCCAGATGAATTTTGGAGGACAGTTCTATGGTAACGCTATTGTACCGCAAGACAAAGGTAAAACACACTAGGCAGAAGGATTTTCCAAAGGTTTGATAGTAACATGAAAATTTTGACTAACTGCTTTGAAATTTTATTGAGAGAGAAACCGAACTGTTCTTTTATTACATATATTTGTCTCTTGGTTGAATATCTTTTCTAACATGTGTTTAGCATGATTCTTTCATATAACGTGGTTTTTGGTGGAAACTTAGTTTTTGAAGTATTTATTTGGACGTGTTAAATGTGTAAGAATGAGGATATGTTTAGTATAACCATCTTCTTTTATTGTAGATTGACTGGTTGGCTTAATGTAACAGGTTCATCTAGATTACCTTGACGCGGGTGCAAATATCATCCTAACTGCGTCTTATCAGGTAATTTTATTACTCCTTACATATGAGTGGCTTTTTTTCTTTTTCTCTGAGGAATATTTACCATCTCATTGATTTGATACAGGCCACCATACAAGGTTTTGAGGCCAAGGGATTATCTACAGAGGAAGCAGAAGGATTGCTAAGGAAGAGTGTTGAAATTGCATGCGAGGCACGTCAAATTTATTATGATAGATGTACTAAAGATTCTTGTGATCACATTGAAAATGGAGGGACTTCAAGGCGTCCAGTTTTAGTTGCTGCTTCAGTGGGTAGCTATGGGGCTTATTTGGCTGATGGGTCTGAGTATAGGTGAGTGAACTTGATGATTCCCAGAGTAATTACACATGTATGTAATGCCGTTCACCCAATTCGTGTAATTGACTTGGTAAAGGCCTGATATATTTTTCATGTAATTGATGCATGAATGTGTTTCTAGTTGGCTGGATTCATATTCATTAATTTGATTTGGATACTTTGTTACCAGCAAAAAGGTGAAAAAAGAACTTGAACACTATGATCTTGAATGGTATCTTCAGTAATAACATATCTGTCTATTTGTTGTCTCCTTTACAGTGGAGACTATGGTGACGCGGTTACTGTGGAAACATTGAAGGATTTTCATAGGAGAAGGTTACAGATTCTAGCCCAATCAGGTGCCGACCTAATAGCATTTGAAACAATTCCAAATAAAATGGAAGCAAAGGTATATCTGGAAAAAATTAAGGCAAATTAAGGCTGTTATATTCTTTACAACCAATGATAGATTTAGAATCACTTTCGGTCTCTGACTCATTCAGATTTTCAATTGAATTGAATGCAGGCCTATGCTGAGCTTCTTGAGGAAGAAGGGATTAATATTCCAGCATGGTTTTCGTTCACTTGCAAGGATGGAGTCAATGTGGTTAGTGGTGATTCTATACTGGAATGTGCCTCCGTCGCTGATTCATGCAAGCAAGTAGTTGCTGTCGGAATCAACTGTACTGCTCCGAGATTTATCCATGGATTGATTCTCTCTGTTAGAAAGGTATGATTCTTGAGGTAGATGCAATTAATAAGATCGAAATTTCAGAACTCTTTAAGACATTAATAAGGATAGGATTTTGTGGTCCCTGTGATCTAAACACTTTTGAAGAAGTGGAATGCTACTGATGAATTTGCCCCAGAAATGATAGTTCTTTTGACTGATTAATCTGGCAGGTAACTAGTAAACCAGTGATAATATATCCAAACAGTGGCGAGACTTATGATGCTGTGCTCAAGCAGTGGGTGGTGAGTTTCCAGCCCGCACCTTTTAAAATGAATTATTATTGATTTCTTAGGCTTCTTGGTGTCTGCCAAACATCTTCATCCATTTTTACTGTAGTGATGCAGAAGTTGATGTTTTGTATTGCAGGAATCAACCGGGGTAAGAGATGAGGACTTTGTGTCATCCATAGGTAAGTGGCTTGATGCCGGAGCTTCCCTTTTTGGTGGCTGCTGCAGGACTACCCCAGATACTATCAAAGCCATATCTAGAGTTCTATCCAACAAAAATACCACCCTTAAAGTCTAAGACACGGGCGTTGGTGATAATATGAATCCGACTGTTAATCTAGAAATTTTCTTTTTCCAGGAGGATCTTCAAGATCTTGATATTCCCTTTTAACCTCTTTTAAGTTCTAGTGGGCAATGTAAATGTAACACTCAAAAAGTTTTGCAAGAACTAAATAAAAAATTTTGTTCTGTTTTCCTGTGTTGTTTCTAAATGTAAAGAAATGGAGAAAAGCAATGAAAAAGACTGTTTCCTTGAGTTGATGGTGTGTCCAAAAGGATGGTGATTAGATCTTACATTGGAACAATCTTTGATGCTCCTCATCGACATGGCCTAATTGGTAATAAGGAATTTATTAAGTTTTTATCCTATAATATTAATAAATAAAAAATGTTATGAAATAAGAAGTCTTGACTTGTAAAGATTTTTTCAACTTCATGAAAAGTTTTCAGATTGTATGTTGAATTTTTTCGATCTTTCCCAATGAGTCTACGGTAATTAGAACCATGAACTATTTATGCTTCCTCATAGAGATAATTGTAATGGACCCGAGGTTTGGTCTAAAGAAAAATCAGTACAATTTTGGTTATTTTGTATTTGTATGAATACATTAATGTAAATTTTATAAACATACTTATTAAAGTGCTTTATAATAGCTTAAACCCTAAAGAAAAGTTATGGTTCAGACATTACAATAACTACAATTATTAACTACCTCTAGGTGACCAGTGGATCGATAGAGACTCTTGAGTGTATTATTTAAGAGGTCTTAAGTTTGAGTCTCTTTTTTATTGTTAATAAGGATAACCACCGGAGTTTTTATCCAGATAATAATTTCAGGGTCTTGGAGAATTAATTGAGATATACGTAAACTAGTCCAGACATCCTGAATCATTTGAAAAAGTAATAGTAAATACTTACAACGGTTGATTCCGTTTAAAATTTAAGAGGGGATATATCGCATTGGTGTAAATATAGTATCTAGTCAACGACAAGTCGTCCATGACTAGAGCACATGTTACGTTGCCTAGAATCTAGACTGTGGGCAGCAAGTCATCTCTATCACTAATAGAGACTCTTGAGTGTATTATTCAAGAAGTCCTGAGTTCAAGTCTTTTTTCAGTTATTAATAGGATTAACAACAAAAATTCTTATCTAGATAATAATTTTAGGATCCTAAAAAATTAATTAAGATATGCGTAAATCAGCCTCAATATCTCCTATCATTTAAAAAAAAGTAATATTAAATACTTGCAACGGTTGATTCCGTTTAAAATTTAAGAGAGGATATATCGCATTGGTGTAAATACAGTATCCAGTCAACGACAAGTCGTCCATGACCAGAGCACATGTTCTGTTGCCTAGAATCTAGACTGTGGGCAGCAAGTCATCTCTATCACTAAGTCGTCCGTTTAGCGAAAAGATAAGTCGTTCAGCATAGAAATCAAAATCAGTATAAAAATTAAGCGGGAACAATAAGAGAATATCAGTTAATTTAGTTGAAAGGGAGCGCAAGTTCAAACAAATGCCCAACAATGTCTGCAACTCTCAATCCATCTCTTTTGGTTTTGGCAACCCCAAAATCTACAACTCTTACCAACCAACGCCAACGCCAACGCCAACACCAACACCAATCCAAACCCATTTCTAAAGATTCTCCTTCAGTTGGATATCTCAATGATTGCGAAACCTTAAACGAACTCAGACAACTACAATGTCAATTATTAAAACAAGGCCTAAATAATAATCCTTCTTATGTTGCAAAGGTTATCTCAACTTATGCCCAAATGGGTACTTCTGAAAGTTTGAACTATGCACAGAAGACCTTTGATCTCTTCAAAGAAGATAATGAAACTGCTACTTTGTTCATGTACAATTCTTTGATTAGAGGGTACTCTTGTATTGGACTTGGTGTAGAAGCTATTTTGCTTTATGTTGAGTTGGTGACTTTTGGTATGTTGCCTGATAAGTATACTCTTCCATTTGTGTTAAGCGCGTGCACGAAGAGTTCAGCTTACAGTGAAGGGCTTCAAGTTCATGGAGCAACTATCAAGATGGGTTTCGCAGGAGATTTGTTTGTAGAGAATTCTTTGATTCATTTCTACGGTGAATGTGGAGAGATTGATGATGGAAGAAAAGTGTTTGATGAAATGTCTGAGAGAAATGTTGTGTCGTGGACTAGTTTGATTTGTGCCTATGCTCGAAAGGATTTGGCAAAAGAGGCTGTTGACTTGTTTTTTGAGATGTTGGAGGAAGGAATTAGACCCAATTCGGTAACGATGGTTTGTGTTATTTCTGCTTGTGCGAAGTTGCAAGATCTTGATTTGGGTGAGAGAGTGTGTGCTTATATTGGTGAGCTGGGAATGAAGGTGAACACCCTTATGATGAATGCACTTGTTGATATGTACATGAAATGTGGTGCTGTTGATACTGCAAAGCGGCTTTTTTATGAATGCAAAGATAGGAATTTGGTTTTGTGCAATACAATCATGTCAAATTATGTAGGGCTGGGGATGCCAAGAGAAGCACTTGCTATCTTGGATGAAATGCTAATACAGGGGCTGCGACCTGATAGAGTTAGTATGTTATCTGCAATCTCAGCAAGTGCGCAATTGGGTGATCTTCTATGTGGAAAGCGGTGCCATGGATATGTTTTGAGGAATGGATTAGAAGGTCGGGATAACATTTGTAATTCTATGATTGACATGTATATGAAATGTGGCGAACAAGAATTGGCGTGTTTAATCTTTGATCGAATATCAAACAAGGGCATAGTATCTTGGAATTCATTGATTGCAGGATTTGTTAGGAATGGTGATTTGGAATCAGCTCGGAAATTATTTGGTGAGATGCCAGAGAGTGATCTTGTGTCCTGGAACACTATTCTTTGTGCTTTAATGCAAGAAAGCATGTTTGAGGAAGCAATTGAATTTTTTCGACAGATGCAGAGTGAAGGAATCAACGCAGATAGGATAACAATGGTGGGTGTTGCATCTGCCTGTGGATATCTAGGAGCTCTGGATCTTGCCAAGTGGATTTACACTTTCATTGAGAAAAAAGGTATTTACTCTGATATGCGGCTTGGAACTGCATTAGTTGATATGTTTGCCAGGTGTGGTGATCCTCAAAGTGCGATGCAAGTATTCGATAGAATGGAGAAAAGAGATGTGTCTGCCTGGACTGCAGCCATTGGGGCAAAGGCTATGGAGGGAAATGGTGAACAAGCAGTAAAGCTTTTCAACAAGATGCTCAGGCAGGGGGTAAAACCAGATGATATTGCATTTGTTGAAGTATTGACAGCATGTAGTCATGGTGGATTAGTGGAAAAAGGCTGGAATCTTTTCAGGTCCATGAAAGAAATCCATGGAATTTCTCCTCAAATTGTCCATTATGGGTGCATGGTTGATTTGCTTGGCCGTGCTGGGTTGCTGGTAGATGCTTTAGATCTTATAAAGAGCATGCCAATGGAGCCTAATGATGTGATTTGGGGCTCTCTTTTAGCTGCTTGCCGAACGCACCAAAATGTTGACATGGCAGCATATGCAGCTGAAAGAATAACCGAATTGGCTTCCGATAAGTCTGGGATTCATGTGCTTCTATCAAACATATACGCATCAGCTGGAAAGTGGAGCAATGTTGCAAGAGTGAGGCTACACATGAAGGAGAGAGGGGTTCGCAAAGTGCCTGGATCAAGCTCCATAGAAGTCTATGGAAAAGTTCATGAGTTCACTTCTGGTGACGAATCTCACCCTGAAATGACTTCCATCTCCTCGATGCTACATGAACTGAACTGCAGATTCAGAGATGCCGGCCATGTTCCTGATCTTACTAATGTTTTACTTGATGTGGATGAGCAAGAGAAAGAGTACTTGCTTAGTCACCATAGTGAGAAACTGGCCTTGGCTTTTGGACTAATCAGTACAAGTCAAAGGATGCCCATTCGTGTTGTGAAGAATCTACGAATGTGCTCGGACTGCCACTCGTTTGCCAAACTAGTTTCAAAAATATATGAGCGAGAAATTATTATTCGAGATAATAACAGATTCCACTTTTTCCAGCGAGGGGTCTGTTCTTGTAATGATTATTGGTAGATTAAAAGTTCCATTCATTTATAACTATCACCCATTAGAATATTGCAGATAACTTGAAGCTACAAGAAGTTTATGCCAATCTATTACAGTTGATAATTTGTATATAAAAAATGAATCCTACAAAAATCGGCGGCCTTCAATCCATGAGAACAACAATTGAAATAAAATCGATAAATCAACATCCTGAGCAAGAGCATCTACCAAACAGCCGATGCTCTTGCCCAGGATATTGATCTATTAAAGAGCTGATGCCACATCAATTTATGAAAATGAAATAAAGAACTGATGAATGAGTTTATTTCAAGTTCATATTGTACAGATCCAAACCACATGAAGAAATTAAAGAGCATCTATTAAACAGTCAACACAAGGGTGAAAACAGATGGCTCTTCAAGATGTGGTTCATGAATTTGGGAATATGGAATCAATGAAGGTATTGTGCATTGGATCAGAAAGCCAGATTTTAGCTAGATGATGATGAGAAGAGGTGCAGCGGTGGACTTCTTCAATGAGCCAAATGGTGGCTTCAGCTTTACAGGGATGAATGACTGTATCCAGGGGCTTATACTCATCTTCGGAGTCAAACCTTGATTTGTCCCACTGCTTTAAGAGAATATTAGTGAGGTAATGCAAGGGTTGCTGATATAACTGCTTAATCGAATTGCCTAGTCCCATCCATGAGGTAAATGGAATAATAGAACCACGGTGTGTCGGAATTGGAATCTGTTTCATGTATTCCTGATACAATTCTGCCTTTTTGAACAGTGCACCTATGAGAAAACATATCACAATAATGCCTTCTGTGAACATGCTAGTTTCAACAAATACAGAAAATAATTCTCCACTAAAGCAAAAAACTTATAATTGGAACCAAAAGCACAAAGAATGGGAAACTGAAACGAGTAATTCTTTCAAATTATGGCACTCAAATAATGGGAACATATAGAGAGGTTTCCTATTAGTTTATTTGAACATTTTTATTATCAAGATTAATGGACAAAGCACATCCAAAGTATAAGAAAAACTAGATCCAGAATCCCAATATAAATACCTTCAGATGTCAAATCTTTGATAACTGTAGTATCATTGATTGACTGCTGACAACCATACCCATCATCTGCATCTGAGGAAGATGATTCACCTGATGATATAACATCAACATGCTCAGTCCATGGCATCGCCCGCTTCATGGCCGAGTCAATGACCGGATTGCAAAAGTAAATATCCTTGTCAAAGGAAGCCTGGGTGAGCTAACATAAAGTAAAACAACAAGAAATGTAAGTCCTGCAACAAAATGATTAACCACACTATGAAACTTGCCAAGGGAGTATCTTTGTTTATCGATCCTTTATAAGAAATGAAGCAGGAATTGATCATTGCAACATTCTAAACAATTCCAAGCCAAAATTTAGACCCCTGCGACTTAAACACTAAACCAGGTTCGATGAAAAGATTATTCCATTAAGGCACAATGTGCGAATAAAAGAAAATATGAAAAGAGTACACAAGAAACAGCCACAATTGAAACACCAACCGAATTTAAACCCTTGAACCTCACTTCAGATAATTATATCAAACAATGAACTAGATCACTCTAGAACCATCTCCTCCACTTCCTTTTTTATTTTTAAAAGATGACCCAATTAGTAAAACAGATTTGTGTGATTTTAACCAATACACCCGTTGATGCTCGATTTTGACATCAACTATTCGCACGTGAGAAATGCTAAACGGACTTAGAAATCACACGCGATATATGAATATTTAGTTAAATAAACAGTGAAATGCAATGTTTAAAGTGGTTCGGATACTCAAAAGCGAATCCTATGTCCATTGATATTGTATTAATGAGAGTAAGGTCAGGTCGCGTTCAGCGAACTGAGTTACTGCTTAAAGAGGATGTCAGAGAGAGAGAGTAAACTATTTTAGCATAAAATTAGCTAATTCTGTAGATGAGAGGGAAAACTTCTATTTATAGTGGACTGAACCAAGGTAATGATTACTAAATCTGCAAGTAGGTGAGTACCGTGCAAATCCTTCTCTACGTTCCATTGCTCATCTGCCTGAGCGATTTCCTCGACTTATGCAGGGTTTGGACACATGGACGATTTCCAACCATCTGCTAATCTGGCACTCACCCACTATACTGACAGAAGCGTGCTACTTACGTCATTATGTGACGTGACTGAATCTGAACGGTTGCAGAACCTTCCCAAGTTCTGACCATCCCATACTGACAAGACTCCACGTTAACCCAACCCTACCTTTTCAGGCGTAACAACACCATACCAAAATAATAATAAATTATGGTTTACTCTAGAACCATTTGGCTACTAGTAATTCATTTCGCTACTCTACCATTGCAATTTTTACATAAATGCATAAGCAGTGAAAGAAATATAAGACAAACAGTAACAGCAGTAAACTAAAATCGAGAAATCAAAAGCCCGAATGGGCGTTAATACCATTGTCAAACCTCAATTCAATGGCATACAGAGAAATCAAAGAACAGCAGAGAAAGGGATAAAAAGAGAGAAGAAAGGAACTCACACGGAAATAGATGTGTTGGAGCTGGTGAGATAAGTTTCAAAGAGTTTGCATGTATATATATATATATATATATTTATAGAGAGAGAGAGAGAGAGAGAGAGAGAGAGTTAGGGCTGATGGTAATTATGATTGAGAAGAATAGGAACGGACAACAACAGTGTATTGAAGTGCAGAGTTTGTTCTACTCTTCAACCACATTCCTAGTACTGGCGCGGGTAGGTAGATCCATTANGGTTGCAGAACCTTCCCAAGTTCTGACCATCCCATACTGACAAGACTCCACGTTAACCCAACCCTACCTTTTCAGGCGTAACAACACCATACCAAAATAATAATAAATTATGGTTTACTCTAGAACCATTTGGCTTCTAGTAATTCATTTCGCTACTCTACCATTGCAATTTTTACATAAATGCATAAGCAGTGAAAGAAATATAAGACAAACAGTAACAGCAGTAAACTAAAATCGAGAAATCAAAAGCCCGAATGGGCGTTAATACCATTGTCAAACCTCAATTCAATGGCATACAGAGAAATCAAAGAACAGCAGAGAAAGGGATAAAAAGAGAGAAGAAAGGAACTCACACGGAAATAGATGTGTTGGAGCTGGTGAGATAAGTTTCAAAGAGTTTGCATGTATATATATATATATATATATTTATAGAGAGAGAGAGAGAGAGAGAGAGAGAGAGTTAGGGCTGATGGTAATTATGATTGAGAAGAATAGGAACGGACAACAACAGTGTATTGAAGTGCAGAGTTTGTTCTACTCTTCAACCACATTCCTAGTACTGGCGCGGGTAGGTAGATCCATTACCCACTTAATGGACCCCGACCCTGGCCTGGATCCAACTCCTGTTTTGGTTAAACAATAGCTTTGGATCATTGGATCCTAAATTAATCTTTAAAAATTGTACGTATTTATATATTAAAAAACTAAGAATAATTTTTTAATTTTTAAGCTTATACTAAATTTTTTTAAGAACATATTTATAAACTAATTTTGGAATATTTTAATCCATTACTTTTCCCCTTACGGGTTGATTAGTCTTTTAGTTACTAACGATCTCAGGTTCGAGTCACGGAAGAGATAATTATTAGATTTACTCAAAAAATATTTTAATCGATTCTAATTAAACTTGTTTTGTTATACTTTTTCACATTTCATATGTTTTAAATTATATATCAAACAAATCTTTAACCTCTATTATGTGAACTAAGATTCTATAACACTTACTTCTTAAAACATATTATGTAATATGCATTGGATTGATATATTTTGAGATATATATATTTTTTTAATCATTAGATCGGATTGAACGAAAAGTTGATTAAATGGTATAAAAAATTTAAGTTGAAAATTGAATTATAATATCTTAAAATAGGTGGTGCCAACTACCTTTAGGTGGTCGAATAATTTGATATGAATTCTTGAATGTATTATTAAGAAGTCTTGAGTTTGAGTCTTTCTTCGATTGCTAATAGGTATTTATCCATTAAAGCTCTTACGGATTAGTTGAGGTATTCTGTAAGCTGGCTCGAACACTTCTGATTATAAAATAAAATCAAATAAAGGTAGTGCCACTTTTTTCTTTTTAAGTATTTGATTATTGAAGTCAAATATAGTTTATATCATTTCTAAGCCAGAACCATAATAGTGGTTCATTCTAGTAATTAAAACATAATATAAGAATTTGTTTGAAAATTGGATATTAGAGTGTAGTGGAGCGGAACCTGAGATCGGGCCAAACCGATCACCATTCGGGTCTGTGTTGTTTCAAAAGAGCAACTAGAAAAAATTTAGATAATCTAACTTGATTTTTTTTCAACGAAAAATGCTCCCAAGACGCAAAATCATCAATTTCTGGTTACATTTACATTCACAAAACAAGCCCCGAATTAATCCTTTGCGCTACTCATTTTGCAATCCTTTTTGTACCTTGAACGAGTCTCCCAACACCACCGAGTCACCGGAGCTACCCATTTGGCTCAGATCCCATGATACCCAAAACCCAGATGAGGATTTTGTAATCCCTTCACTTGCCAGTTGGGTTGAGAATCACAAACTTAATGATCCAAATAGTATTGTTACCCACGTTATCAGTGAGAAAACAGATACTGATGTTGATAAAATCAGCAAAATCCTCAAAAATAAATACCCATCGCCTGATGAAGTTGTTCTGGCACTAAATGGGTCTTGTTTCAGTGTATCAAACAGGTTGGTTGAGCACATTTTGAAGAGATTTAGCAATAACTGGATCCCAGCCTTTGGGTTGTTCACTTGGGCAAAAACACAAACAGGTTATAGGCACACACCAGAAATATACAACACAATGGTTGATATATTAGGAAAATCAAAGAATTTTGGTCTTATGTGGGAAGTAGTTAAAGAAATGGACGAGTTGAAAGAGGGGTATGTTACATTGGCTACAATGAATAAGGTTATGAGGAGGCTAGCCAGAGGGGATAGGTATGAGGATGCTATTGAAGCATTTAGAGGATTCGAGAGGTATGGTTTGAAGAAAGAAACAATGGCAATGAACATTCTAATGGATGCCTTGGCTAAAGAGAATAGTGTTGAGCATGCATATAAAGTGTTTCTTGAGTTCAAGAATTGCATACCTTTGAATTCTTATACTTTCAATATTTTGTTACATGGGTGGTGCAAAGCTAGGAAATTGGGGGATGCTGAGAGAACTATGGATGAGATGCAGAAACATGGGCTTGTTCCAAATGTGATTTCTTATACTTGTTTCATTGAGCATTACTGTCGAGAAAAGGATTTTCGTAAAGTTGAAGACATTTTGAAACAGATGCAGGAAAGAGGTTGCAAGCCAAGTACTGTGACTTATACTATTTTCATGCATGCTTTAGGAAAAGCAAGGCAGATAAATGAAGCATTGGGGGTTTACGAAAAGATGCAGAGTGATGGTTGTTTACCTGATACTTCATTTTACAGTTCATTGATATATTGTTTGAGTAAGGCTGGCAGGCTTAAGGATGCTAATGAGATATTTGAGGATATGAAAAAGCAGGGACTTATGCCAAATGTTTTGACATATAACACCATGATTTCTTCTGCTTGTGAGCATTCACAGGAGGAGAATGCATTTAAATTGCTTCAAAAGATGGAGGAGGATTCATGTAAGCCTGATCTTAAGACTTATGCGCCTTTACTGAAGATGTGCTGCAAGAAGAAGAGAATGAAACTGCTTAACATTTTGCTGCGCCACATGTTTAAGAATGATATCAGTATTGATCTGGGAACTTATACTCTTTTGGTGCATGGACTTTGTAAGAGTGGGAAACTTGAAGAGGCTTGCTTATTCTTTGAAGAAATGGTATCAAGGGGAATGGTTCCCAGGGATAGCACATACAAGATGCTGGTGGAGGAACTTGAAAGGAAAAGCTTGGCAGATGCGAAGGAAAAAATGGAGAAGTTGATGTCACAAGCCAAAGAGCAAGAAAGCGTTTAGTTGTTCACTTGTTCTTACTCTTTTCATTCAGTTATCATTGTTTTTCATGCTTTAACTTTGTATGAATTGATATACACGACGGTTATGTCTTTCTTGATCCCTCTTATTTTGAGAACGTGTTAACTGTTGAAATTAAGTGCTAGTTTATTTGTTTGAATAATGTTATGTTTACAATTGAGTTATACAATCAGACATACAACCAAGGAAAAAATATAGGATAAAATAGTCATTTTACATGAATTTTGTAAAATTTTTGTTTGGTTGTATGACTTAATTGTAAACATAACATTATTTTTATTTTTTCTAGATAAAGGGCGGTGTGAGCGGCCACTCCTACTATTGTCATTGGTTAAGAAAATTCTCTTCCTTCTTTAATTAGTTAATCTTAGATGCATGTTCGTCATATGAGATAGCTGATATTTCTTAGGCTCCTTGGAAAATTCCTCACCTGTAAGCTGAATCTAACTGTTGAAGGTGCATTCGTGTTCTCTGGTATACATCAAGGTTTGAAAACTGGCATAGGGTGAAACTCGACAAAGTGGCCGGGTTTCGAGTTGACAGATTGAACCTATTTGACTGAAAGGTCAAACCAATGACGTCAGCATGTAAAAAAGTTTGAAATCTAACAAAAACACTCCTAAAAGTTACACATAAGTCCTTACAGATTTGAAATCCTACAAAAACATCTCAAATAACACCGTAGGCATTGACAACCTAGGCCAAATAGGGCTTGTTTTCGGCACTGACAACACACCCCATCACCACGAAAACTCCACCCTCAGCCTCCTTACCAAAACCCATCTCACCTCATCCCTGTTTGTCTCGTCAATCATTGGCAACAACCTACAACAGTTGCTGTTGATTTATTTTTGCGATTTTCAATAATTTCACTTACCAAAAATCACCTTCGTTGCCATCTTTCGACTGACCGGCCCTTCCTTTTCAAAACCCCCAACATCCCAACCACCTATTTTTTGCCGATTGTCGTTCTAATTCTAGGGTTTTCTAAGAATAGTGAAATTGATAACCTGACCTGGTGAAGGCCCCGAGTCACGGTTGAATCGATCGGGCCAGATCGAGTTTTAAAACAATGGTATATATTGCCAATACTTGGAATAAAATTTTCCCTCTTGAAAATATTAGAAGTAAAATAAATTGTAATGAGATAATATACTTTAATGCTTATTTTAAGTGTTATCTATGATCATGTGTCACACCTTAGAGTAATTCTTCCCCGCAACGGATGTACCACGTTAGAATACTGATGTGGTACATCCATCCATTTATTGAAAGTCATGTGGCAGTTTTTCTAAAAAAAAAAGAAATTGGAGAGAGTTTTAATCCGGAAATGGGAAAAAAGACGAGAGTAAAATATATTAAAATTTTATTTAAAAATTCTACTACATGGTCTGCTATAATGAGATAGATGTATCACATCAGCATCCTGACGTGGTACATTCGTTGCAGGGAAGAATTAATCCACCCCTTCTGCGACATGGACGTCTTGCTAATTCATTATTTGTAAAAGAACGTAACTTGAGAACGACGGGCAATTACGTATCTTTGAAGTTGGTGCTCAGAAGAACCTTTCTCCAAACATAACTCTTCCACCACTTTCCAACCCTGTTAAATTTTTTTTACCAAGGTTAGTGTACCTTATAATGGCCAATTCTTTCTGCAGTTTATGCCAAAACAATTTTACTTGCCCTCGAGGAGGCTTCAGATTGCAAGAGAAAAAGACTGTTGGAATTTATTAGGCTACGCAACCATGGTAGAAGGACAAGATGAAACATCAGGTGGGTAGATTAATTGTCTGAGATTCAATGCTCACTACAATGATTTGGTGATTTAATTTTTTTGGCACTTCAAAGAGGCCTGCAGAGTCTAAACCCAGCAGATCCCATGGTGTGTAATATTGATTACAGTCTCTAATCAAATGTAAATGAAGGCGTGTAGACCAGTTCTTACTGTATATGTATTACAACACCAAACACTAGATTGATTTTCCAAGTAACACACCCCATGAAGATTATGTTATGGTGGAAACAATGTTTCTATACTATGATGTGCAAGCTGAGAGAGAGAGAGAGAGACACGTTGAAAGAGCCTATTTAACGGTTCATTTTACCGCGTAATTACATTAAAGAATAAAACAAAAAATGTTTAGACAAGCGGAAGGAGAGGAATTTCCATGAAAGAAATACCAGAGAAGAAGCTTCATGCTCTCTAAATATTGCTGAAACAAAAAAAAAATAAAAATAAAAATAAAAATAAAAAAAAATAAAAATAAAAATTAAAAAAAGATGAAAACCTAAAACTAGTAATTGCCTTAACGATAGAGTGGTCATTTTAAATCTCCTATGTTTGTTGTTATCCTCCATCTCTGCTACCACTTGCAGCAGAAATGAACAACAATAAAGAATAAAACATAAAAATGAGGAGGGAAATCTCACAGATATTGTTTCTTTCGAGAGAATAGAGTACCAAAACCAGGCCCAGGGCGTGGCATTATTTTTGCCAGTGCCTTCTGCCACCCTAGCCTTTCCAGGAAATCCTCAATCAACCTAAATATTCAAAGTACAACAATGAGTTTGTAACCTAAATAAAAGCCAGTGGAAAAAAGAAGCCACAGATGTACTTACTGGCTGCAGATAGCCTTCTGTGAAGATGCAAGTTCGCGGTCTGGGAAAGATTCCTCCAATCGGAAACTTAACCACACGTAGAGATCCAAGACCTTCAATTGGAGCACCAAGAACGTATAAACATTTTTTAGCAGTTAATATTCCAGATTAAAAATGGATTCAAATGAATAATTACTGTTAAGTAAACCTTGAATTTTCAATGTCTCAACATGTGGCAGAAATATACACAAAGCTATAGATGAATCAAATAAATAAAAATATATGAGTTTTCATGTTTGTACTTGAAAACAATAGTGACCAAATTCTTTTCTCCAATGACCCGCATGCAAGTCAGTCAGCCAGAATCAAATTATCTCAGAAGGCCAAAGTATAGGATAGCTGTTGAATTTGCCATTAGTAATAACAGGAAGTATTGCTTATGTTGGACAATATTTTACCAAATACACTAGTTTCTCAATAACATGGAAATCAATAAAAGTTTTTAGCCAGCCAACCAGGATTTAAATTTTCTTCTAATGAATAACATCCACAAGAACTAAGTGCAAAAGGGCATTAAGATTGGCAAATTATCTCACATCTTCCAAATTATTACTTTCCAACTAATAAAAATCAATTTCATTCATACTGTCAATTAAAGAAAATTCCAACTTCACATTTATCTTTTTGTTTCCTCCAGCCAGCTAAAATTTTTTCATTTAAAATCAGTTAGAAGCCAACAACTTAAAACTTGTGCATTGTTCCCAAGCGCATAGATGACGCTAACAAAAGGCCTAACCTTGTGAATGGATTCAAGCTCCCTGAGTGCACTTTCTGATTTTGGCACTGCAAGCGTACCAGGTGTAAATATTTCTCGAAGTTGGACAATGCCTTTCGTTGCATAGGTTGTTGCAAACTGATACATCACAAAGTCTTATTTGTATTAATTTCCTCATTCAGAGAGAAATATGTTAATTTATCAGGGAACGGCATATACCTGTGTGAGACCCTGAGATGAAATGTCATCCTTCATGTCAACTGGACTGCACAACACAAAAAATAATTAATCTGACACCCAACTAGTTAGTAAATTAATAATGATAAAAAAAAAATAACATCAGGAACAATAACAATGGCAGCAGTGATAATAGTAACGATATAATAACCAGGTTTCAGCCATTAGAGATCCTGCACCAAACTAAGGAGATACCATTTCCAAAAAACCAATGCCCCAATTTTTTCACACAGAAACAATGCTCTATCAAAAGAAGAAAAAAAGTTCTGGTCGGATTTTTTTTCCTTGGCCTCAAAACTAAATTTCAGTAAATACTTTTTTTTTTCCTCCAGAATAAATAAATGTTTCTTCATCAAAGTAGAATGGCATAGGCCAAGTACAAGTTGTTATTAAGAACAATTTTCTTTTAGGAGATAAAGGTTGTTACCTGATACAGAAAAGGTATTTATCATGCAAACCAAGGGGCAATTCATCAATAACAACAGCAACTTTCTGATATCAAAAACTATAATTAGTATTCATAAGTATTCATATTGAAAGCAACGATTATACAAGAACCTTAAAGTATGACTTTTACAGTTGCCAAAAGCACAACAAAATAAGTACATAAAAATATACCAAAATTTCTTCACAATTGGCAATAAAGTAGTTTTCAGATAATTTTGCATTCTCAAGGAAATGCTCCTGCAAACACACACAGACACACCAAAACAAATGTTAGAAAAAAATTGAAAATTCAACCAGACACACTACTTAAGCCATTTAAAGAAAGAAATAACTTAAAGCTCAATACGATTCTGCCAGAAGTTCTGGAAATTAACAAATAGAGTGTTTTATATTCGGAGCAGATAAGAGGTTCAACAAAAAATAGGAAATAATATAGAAGGAGAATATAAACATAGCTGACTATACTATATTATTCTAAACAATCACTCTATGAGAATAGATCTTTAGTCTGATTGCATAAAGTGCAAACAGTTAGTTTTATCATTCTCTTCAATATTCTACTTTGCATCACATGCAAGGATTGGGTTCTCTATAAATTTATTTGTTTTTTATTTTTTGCATTACATGCATGTTTACAATTAACCATTATAATTTTCCCAACAGGGCAAAAGACATGACAGATCATTTGTCAAAACAATTAGTTTAGATCACAGGGCAAAAGACATGACAGATCATTTGTCAAAACAATTAGTTTAGATCACTGCATTGGTCTCTCAGGCACAAACCCACATGCAATGTTTATCATTCTTAGAAATGCTTAAATAAATAAAGTAATTAAAAACAAAAAGGATTAACAAAATATCTAGATGGATAAACAAAAGATACAGACAATATAAAGCAAATATAGACAGTAATAAAATAACTCACCAATATTTCATGGAGGCCACTTTTTGCATGTAAACGTGAATACATGTAAATGAGATCAAAGGTAGGAAATAGTCCAGCACACTGCAAAGGACAAGTTATTATGATTTGATAAAGAAGTAACATTAGTCTGTGATGTTAAAGACATATCAGAATCTAAAAGTTCAAATTATTTGATTGACAAACTCAATTACAATACTAAAAATTTCAAAGATTTTCAGCAGAAACTTTGTGGAATGGCAACGTCAGTAATAACACATTCACCTCTAGTGTTGGTGACGCAGAATTCAGGGATGAATGAAGCAAAGGTAGATCCTCTGAACTTAAACAGGTCACTTCACCTTTTGGAAATTTTGACCCATACCTGCCAGCTCTCCCTGCAGCAAAACCGATAAGCCATATAAAACATCAATAAAGAGTACAATTTATTGGAAGGAATGAACAATAAGCAAACATTTCCAAATTACTTCAAGACTACTAGTTAAATCGATATCCAAACCTACCCATAACAGAATAAATAAAAACCGTAAGAGTAAATTACACACCTTATCATTCATTTATTGGAAGGAACGAATGATAAGCAAACATTTCCAAATTACTTCAAGACTACTTGTTAAATCGAAATTCAAACCTACCCATATAACAGAATAAATTACACACCTTAAGAGTAAACAGAATAAGATTAGTGAATCCTCTGACCACCAATCATTAAAAAGGCCCATCCATTTCAACCCCACTCCTAAAGTAGAGGACTTCTGTGAGATAGAATCCTAATTGAATAGCTATTGCAGTTGGTCAGTTCACATAGGAGGATGAAAAAACAAACTCTAAACTGATGCCAAAGAGTTGCAAACTCATCAACAGATAAATGACAACTAACCTTATCTTCTTATATTAATGCCTAATTTATTTAGCCCTAATCAAGTTAAGCGTCTAAATGGAATTTTAAAGAAATATGTAATGCCAAACTTCAACTACACAGACAACAAGGTACCTGCAATTTGTTTGACCTCTGGTACAGTGAGCTCTCGCATCCCCACACCATCAAATTTTTCCATAGTTGAAAATATTATCCTAGAAATGTTCAGATTAAGACCCATTCCAATGGCATCACTAGCCACAAGAACATCAGATTCACTGCTTGCATCATTGAACATTGTTGCCTGCAATCCTAGGGAAAATATTAACTCAGCCAGCCCCCGTTTTTATATACAGCAATAATAGACTTAACAGCAAGAAATGCTCAAAGTGGAAGCTGTATGATACAGTTTGGACTAAACAATTGCTTCATATATCTCATGGAAGAAATTTATTTATTTCATGAGAGAGAAAACCTTGTGAAGCAATAAAAAAAGATAACAATCATAAGAAGAAGTGAATAGGAAAGCACATCATTATGTGGTTTAAGGAAAGATAAAGCATATCCATAGTCAGAACATCATTGGAAAAAAAAAACACATTTATAGAAGCCAAATATATTTTCAACAGGATAAATAAAGTTTCTCAAAAACATCAGAGATACAGTACCTGTCTTGTTCGAGTCTCCGGTGGCAGTGAACCATACACTACGGAACAAAGATGCTTTCCCGAACTTTCGATCCTTTTCTGACAATAGTAGAGTATACACAGATCAATTTAGACAAGACAGTCTACCAAATAGGAGTAATATTGCATCACAGGCAGGTATAAGCAGTATTTGAAAATGGAGATGATCAACCCCTCATGCTCTATGACAAGCCAAAAGAATAAGCTTTATTGTTTATCTACTAACTTAACGGTAGAATATTAATAATAGTAGTTTAAATGAAAATTTTCTTTTATCCTGAAGGCAAAATCTCATAAGATATAAGGATATGCAAGTTAAATTAAGCTCAGTTTTACCCAAGACATCATAAAACATAAAAATATGAAGGGAGAAAGAAGTCAGTGCTGTGGTTGAGAAAACATAATATAAAACAATCAAGAAAGTTAACAACAGACAAAAAAAGGAAGCAACAAAGGATTACAAACCTTTAATCTGTATATATCACGACGTGAAAAAGTTACAATGCAATCGCCTGTTCGTATGTTAGAAAATGATCCAAGAGGAACCTTCAATGGAACTAGGGGTGAAAGTCTCTCATAGGATTGAACCTATAACATCAAATGAAGAAAATGGTTTATGCTAGGAATAAAAAAGGCAATAATGTAAAATGCCCATAATAAACATGGAACATACTGACAGGATTAAAGAAACCACCAGTTATTAACAATTTTACAGAAAATAGAAAGACTGACAAAAGCAAACTCCCCCTCCCCCAAAGTAAACACAAAAAAGGAAAAGAATGATAGTGTTGCAGTATGTTTCTTATTCTTCATTGTTTCTTTGCTCTTGTACTATGAACATGATGCAGTACCGTTGATATCTAACATAATACACCCATTCTGATATTCTATATCCATTGAATAATAAGATTTTATATATTTATTTATTTTTACAGAGACATACAGTGGCATAAATATTGCCTTCAGAACAAGAACAAGAACAAGAAAATAACATGCACAAAAATAATCCACAAGCAATTACATACTTCAACATCATCACCAGTTACTTTAAGTATTTCCTGGATAAGAGGAACAGCAGCTGGATCTCCACAAAGGTGAAGTTCATCAGCAGAGATCCCCAATAGAGCACGGGTAAATGAAAAACCCCTGGTCCTACACCCCAACATCTGGAAAGGAAAAGTACACAAAGACATGAGACATACTAAAGATGATGACTCAAGGATTAACTAAAATTACTTTGCAATACGAATTTAAGCCCACAATTCAGTTATATAAGTAACAATACTAAAAATGACAACCAATTTCGGAAAAAGCATTTTAGCATAATACTTGGTGTAATCCTATGCTGAAGAATAATTAATACAATAAAAATAAGACCTACCAATTTCAACATAGACAAAACTGGCAACAGGAAAAAGAATTGGCTTTGCTTTTGTTGGTGTTATTCAGGAAAGCCCCAGCTTTAATAATCACAAGTAAGTCCAATGGGAAGTAAAAAGGGAACAAAAATACTTCAGATAAACTACCAACATGCCTGAATTTCGTCGATAACAGCACAATCATTCAGTAGTAACATCAGCCATTCAACTGTCACAGCCTTGTGTTTTGCACCATCAACTTCCTCTCTTCTTGTCCGGTAATTAGATACCAAGGAACGTTTGCCTTGTTCAACCTTTTTGCCACCTCCATGCCAACAATCTCATGGTCACAATAAATGCCTGCATATGGCAGAAAATAAAGCAACTAGTGGCCAATTTTGAATAGCTATTTACCAACACCTTAATGTTAACTAACAGATGAAATGACAACATGTCTGACTTATGGTTTAATAAGCTTTAAGACATCCAGTAGAACTTGATTCAAGCCGCTTCAGAGCTGGTGTGTTTTACCACTGTTTGTAGGCCCCACATGCAGAACAACTTTGCGAATCTGTTTGCGAGCGCGTGGTACCATGTATGAGGCCGACTAGCATTACACAAAAATGCACTCACAGGGTTGTACTCCAAGAATGATGAACATGACATTTATATAGCAAGAGAGTAATTCTATAAGCTAAGCATATCGAGCACAGAACAAAGGCTTCTAAAATCTGATAATAAAGAGTGACAGAGATATATAGTATATTAACTGGAGTTTCAGGAAAAACTTTTAAGATATTGTACGTTCTAAGGATTAATACATTCAACATTCCAAAATTTCACATGATTTAAATTGCAACACTATTTAAAATTGATAAAAAAAGAAATCAATTTTAAACTACAGGTTGGACAAACTTTATGCTATCATAATGGAGAAGTGAGATTATCATTTAGCAAACAAGTCAATGTATTTTTTTTTTTTTTTTTTTTTTGAAAAGTCTATGAGCGCAAAAAATCTTCTAACAAGCAAAAAAATAGTTTCAAGAATGAAACACATCTCTTACGTTAGGTCTGTAAAATCAAACTTAGTGGTACCACTGCAGTTGCTGTACTTCTTTATCATAACATCAACACCACAAAAGCTCCAAACTTTGTTTCCCTGTTCTGGCCAAGGACTCCACTGACCTGCCAAAATTTGCACAAAAGAAAAAAGAATGATAAAAAATCAGAAACACACACCACCTTCTCAAAAAGACATAAATTCAATTACTAGCCTGACATGAGAGCATGTTCATTGTAACATAAAACATAGATTAAGATTACTTCAACTCTTTGGCCTATTGAACAGAAATTAAGTTAAACAGAAATTCTAATGATCAAGATTCTAACAAGCACAGAAATTCCCAACGGTTAGCCCTATCTATTTCCCAGGCCAATTTTAAAATATTTATATTTTTAAATGTACCATTGCCATTAGGTGATAGAGATAGCCTATAAATTGAAAATTCTACGTCACATATGCTTTCTAACTGTACTAGGCTCCATTGACCAAAAAAAAAAGAAAAAAAAAAAGACACACACAAACACTAAACTCGTAACTAAAAAAGGAAGAAACCACCTCCCTCCAGCTGAGAAAACAATCTAAAAACCAATATTACACGGCAAGACAATATAAACAACAAAATCATTCTAAACAATTCAACTGTTAGTTATCTAATAAATTTACTTAATTCGAATCACTTTCCACATCGAATAATAAAACATAACAAAACAATAATAACTATGTAGTGAGATTAAGTTCCACCTCGGAGTATGGAGAAATCCCTGAAGCCGAAGCCTTTCGATGTCGAAGTAGCAAAACAGCCATTTTTATCCTTATAAACCTTGTAAGATGAATAAGTAAATAGAAAAGAAATATGTGTATGAAAAAAAAAGAATCAAAAAGGAGGGAAAAAAACATTGACATTATAGGACCACGAACTCGAAGGAGAACATGTGGTGGGTCAAAGATCGCGAGTTTCTTCAGCGAAACTTTGCCAACGCCTCCTTTTTTTTTTTTTTTTTTTTCTCCTTTCTTTCGTGTTAAGTGCCACGCTTCTTCCTTCCTTCGGGTGGACTACTGTGAACATGCGAAAGATGGGCTGCTCGAACCCACTCCATCAGTTTCGAAATCATTGGGCTCTACACAAAGCAAATACTAGTAGGCCAATCTGTCCATGGGCCACAGTTTAAAAGGATCAACTGTGGGCCTGTGGCCAAGCAAACAAATGTAAAGCTTGATTTCAGTCAAATCAGGTTATCTTTTTTTTTTTTTTTTTAGGTATAGGAGGCGTGCCAAGGTAATTGAATTGAACAAATGTGATAGGACCTCTTTCGGAGATTCGAACACAAGACCACGAGCAATGTTTTAAAACCCAATCCGTACGACTTAGAGAACAAAGTTTGTTTGATCACTGGATAATTTTGGAATTAGCAGAAAACGAAACGAACCATCCACCCCTGAACCTGGAAAACACTCTTCATACATGGCTTTGAGATCCCCATTTCGTTCGTCTTCAATCTCTCGAAACCCATCTCTGAAAGGTAATATTTCATCTTTGTTAGCTCACTACACAACCTCACAACTTCAAGCTCCAACAATGAAGTTTTGTATTCTTTCGAAAAACCCTAGAACGATCCTCACTTGCTAAATTCCTCAAAGAAATTGTCGATCAGGTAATTTACTCTGATGAAGCATTATACTTTTTTCATTACATGATTAATTCGCAACCCATCTCTCCAATTCATCATTCACTACTTTGTTTAGTGCACTGTCAAAGAAGAAGCATTATATGAAGTGATTTCTCTTTATAAGTGGTTGAATTCAACTGGGTTGTCTCCAAATTTATTGTCTTTGAACGTTTTGATCGATTGCTTGTGTAAAATGAAAGGGTTTCTGATGGTTTTGCGGTTTTGGGGAGATATTGAAGAAGGTTTTCAGCCCAAATGCTGTGACTTTTATTGTTTGATCAAGGTCTGTGTGTAGAGAAAGATTGTGGAGTCGATGGAATTGTTTAAGAAAATGGTTGCTGTTGTTGTAGGCCTGATGTGATCATACAACATTGATTGAGGATGTGTAAAACGGGGAAGATAAGTGTTGCCATAAGTTGCTTGAAGAGATGGTTGATGGGAATAAAAATCTGGTTTATTTGTAGGCCAGATGTTGTTACTTAATATATATATTGATGGTCTTTGCAAGGCTGAATTAATTGAGAAGGCTAGAAAGTTGTTTTTGGAAATGATAGATCAAGGTGTGCAGCCTCTGTGTGTGACGTTTAGTGTGCTCATAGATGAACGTTGCAAGAAAGGGAAATTGCAGAAGCAAATAGGTTGTGGAGCTTATGATTCAGAGAGGTGTGTTCCTGACATTTATACTTATAACATTTAATGAATGGATTGTGTAAAAAAGAAGATAAGTCCTGCCATTAGTTGCTTGAAGAATTGGCTAAGGGAAATGAAAATCTGGTGTTATTTGTAGGCCAATGTTGACTTATAGTACTATAATTGATGGTCTTTGGAAGGTTGGATTAGTAAGAAGGCGATAGACTTGTATTCGAAATGAAGAGTTCGGGAACTACTCCAAACGTAGTCACTTATAGCATTTTGGTCAATATGCTTTGTAAAAATGGACAACTAGAAAAGGCAAATGGTTGTGTCCATATGGAGGAAAAAGGTTGTGCTCAAATGTAATCACGTTTACTACGCTCATGTTTGGTTTTCAAGAATAATAAGATACCAAAAGTTGTTGAACTCCTGCTAAGATGGCGGAGAGAAATGTGAAGCCGACTGAATGTACAAGTCCTTAGTCATGCAATTACTAATGAAGGCCGAAAATTATCGTGAATGTTTGAACCAGCTTCCTCAATTCGCGTCCAAAAGCGAAATTGAAGTTATGGAGTGGTTCACTTTTTCAGAGCAGTATCCTTGTCGGAGAGCATTATTTGACATCATTGAAATATGAAACTGCAAAAGCCTCAGCCAGCTGCAGAAAGACTCTATGATTGTTACCGTACGAAGAATGCAGTTGACATGAGAACATTGCTGCCAAGAAAATAGTTTTGCTGATACACGCGTTATTGTAACGATGATCCATGAAGATTTGGTTGATATGGGATTTCAAACTGTCAGTGGAATCTATGAAGCGCATGGTCTAAAATGGACTTGGTAAGATCCCCTTTATCTTATATAAACAGTGTTACCTTTTAAACCTTGAAGGACAAGGCATAGTGCTAGCCATTTGCCATTAATAGGCTTTTAACTATGCATAAGTCTGTTTTCTAGATCTAAATCAGTTTGAAATGTTTATAGATTTCATTGCATCATTGGTTTTGTCAGGTATTAAAATTTATTGCAGACATAAATGTTGGATGTGCCGATTAACCATTTACTTATGATTTGTGGTGGTGAGAATTGTTGGACAAAACTCTGGTAGTATAATGTCTAATAGATAGTATTTTTACTCTCCAGGTTACTCCCTTTAGGATATATTCTTCCGATTCCAATAGGAAACTATCCATTCTGCATAATTACACTGACAATTATCTGGCAGAATATTTGTTCCTGATTCACTGCCATATTGCTGTATTCTTCGTTGTTACTCTGACCAAACTCCAGAACTTGGACTACCGGTGATGGTTTAAGAGTACTATGTTACATGTGTCCGATGGCCTATGGGCAATGCAATGGGCTCTAAGAAGGCTGAACCTTCTAAAATGAGATGAACCAGAAGTGAATGAAGAATCTCTGTATAGATATCATGTTGGTTCTGTAAAGCTGCTTGCCTTCTAAAGGTACCAGATGATAAAGCGCATAAAGGTCTTTAATGGTCATTGTTTGATTACACTTGCTAAAAAGTTTCTGTAATTGATTGGTTCCTGTAATTTATTACTGTCATCAATTTTGTGTACTAAGAGATTCATTAGAGGAATAGAAATATTGGTGTATACTGCAGTGGGTGTAAAAAACTATATTTGAGATGTTATGTAAATCATATTATTCTACTGTTGAACTTTTTAGTTTTCCAATTCTTGTGACATATTGAATATGGCACTATTACAAAATTAAAAAAAAAAAAAAAGATAAAAATCTTTTAAAATCATTACAAATTGATTCCAAAATTCATTTCTTTAGATCTGTAAATTATCAAAAAGATTATGCATTTGATCACTCATATAAATGGGTTGGCTTGTGTCGCTTTTTGGTTAACTATAACTCTTTCATTCTAGCTTAGGTAAGAAAACTCAACTTGATGGCCTAAGCCTCATGTGTTGACACATTCCCAGGGTAGATAGATTAAAATCCACCCAAACATTTGATATCGACGATGTTTTGTTTAATATTGACATGTTACGGATGATGTGATATCTTAATATCATAGAGCTTTTTTTTTTTTCGGTTATGTATAACAAATAGCA